GGGGGCCAGGGCCACAGCAATGACTTTCTCGGGGCCTCAAAGCTGCAGTTTGCCAGCCTGCAAAGGATCCAAACTTCCAAAATTCCAAACACCTTCCCCAACATGCACCCTAGGGCCAAGGCAACTTCCCCAACAGGCACCCCAGGGCCAGGCCACAGCAATGGCTTTCTTAGGCTTTCAAAGCTGCCGTTTGCCAGCCCGCAAACCCTCCAAAACTCTCCAAAACTCTCCAAACCCTCCAAACCCTCCAAACGCTCCAAACCCTCCTAAATGACTTTCTTGATGCTTTCAAAGCTGCCTTAACAGGGGGCCAGGGCCACAGCAATGACTTTCTATGGGCCTCAAAGCTGCAGTTTGCCAGCCTGCAAAGGATCCTAGGGCCAAGGCAACTTCCCCAACAGGCACCCCAGGGCCAGGCCACAGCAATGGCTTTCTTAGGCTTTCAAAGCTGCCGTTTGCCAGCCCGCAAACCCTCCAAAACTCTCCAAAACTCTCCAAACCCTCCAAACCCTCCAAACGCTCCAAACCCTCCTAAACCCGCCAAACCCTCCAAACACCGTCCCCAGCAGGCACCTCAGATCCACAGCAATGACTTTCTTGATGCTTTCAAAGCTGCCTTAACAGGGGGCCAGGGCCACAGCAATGACTTTCTATGGGCCTCAAAGCTGCAGTTTGGGGGGCCAGGGCCACAGCAATGACTTTCCATGGGCCTCAAAGCTGCAGTTTGCCAGCCTGCAAAGGATCCAAACTTCCAAAATTCCAAACACCTTCCCCAACAAACACCGTCCCCAGCAGGCACCTCAGATCCACAGCAATGACTTTCTTGATGCTTTCAAAGCTGCCTTACCAGAGGCCAGGGCCACAGCAATGACTTTCTATGGGCCTCAAAGCTGCAGTTTGCCAGCCTGCAAAGGATCCAAACTTCCAAAATTCCAAACACCTTCCCCAACATGCACCCTAGGGCCAAGGCAACTTCCCCAACAGGCACCCCAGGGCCAGGCCACAGCAACCCCAGGGCCAGGCCACAGCAATGGCTTTCTATGGGCTTTCAAAGCTGGCTTTCTTAGGCTTTCAAAGCTGCCGTTTGCCAGCCCGCAAACCCTCCAAAACTCTCCAAACCCTCCAAACACCTTCCCCAACATGCACCCTAGGGCCAAGGCAACTTGCCCAACAGGCACCCCAGGGCCAGGCCACAGCAATGGCTTTCTATGGGCTTTCAAAGCTGCCGTTTGCCAGCCCGCAAAGGCTCCAATCCCCTCCAAAATTCCAAACCCCCAGGGCCAGGGCCACAGCAATGAGACTTTTTATGGGCTTTCAAAGCTCCCGTAGCCCGCAAAGGCTCCAAACTTTCCAAAACAAAATTCCAAACACCTTCCCCAACAGGCACCCCAGGGCCAAGGCCACTTCCCCAACAGGCACCCCAGGGCCAGGGCCAAGGCCACTTCCCCAACAGGCACCCCAGGGCCAGGCCACAGCAATGCTTTCTATGGGCTTTCAAAGCTGCCGTTTGCCAGCCCGCAAACCCTCCAATCCCCTCCAAAATTCCAAACCCCCAGGGCCAGGGCCACAGCAATGAGACTTTTTATGGGCTTTCAAAGCTACCGTTTGCTAGCCCGCAAACCCTCCAAAACTCTCCAAACGCTCCAAACCCTCCAAAACCCGCCAAACCCTCCAAACACCGTCCCTAGCAGGCACCCCAGATCCACAGCAATGACTTCGAATCACTTACCATCCGTGCATGGGATGATCCTCCAGGCTTAACCAAAAAAAAACTGGAACACTGGCACATTGAAATTGTTTTTTTCTTATTAATTCATGGTGATGTTCCACATCGATGTTACTTTGCCCCACCACTGCGGCACCTTTTAGCTGCACGTGGTGCCGTGTCTCAGTTGGAACCCTCTTCGAGGGCGGCCCGTTTTGGGCACGAGGAGAGCATATCTGGAGTCTCAACCATCGCGGTGCTTCAGCAATGCTTAGACCAACAGGTTGAAAAAAAGGTGATGACTTGAAACAAAATTCGGTGCCCTCAGCCAGTCTTTGATCCACCCGTGGCTTATTCTACCTAGAAACTCTTTCGGGATTTCTTTTCTGCCGGATGCCAAATTTTCTGCCAAATTTATGCCCGGAAATTTCAGGAATCCTGGAAACTACGCCGGAATCATGTGCAATGAAGCCGGCTGGAAAAAAACATGTATATGTATATCCGCCGACCCCGGTCGACCGCAAGGGGGAGCGCGTCAGGGAAGAGAGGTTGTGGACACCAAGAAATACAACAACGGGTCACGGATCAGCAGCAGCAGCAAAAGCCTCTGCAGCAGCAGGAGGAAAAGGTAGCCAAAATTCATAGCAGCAGCAAGAGGAAAAAGTAACCAAAATCATCATTTTCTATGCGTTTTCGCTAGGCATTTACGGGGTACGGGGTGCAATTTTGGGGTTTCTCCGTCCTTCACTGCCATGGTGTTTTCCCATCCGGGGACCAGCAGCAGCAGCAGCAGCAAAAGCTTCTGCAGCAGCAGGAGTAGGCAGCAGCAGGCAGCAGCCAGCACCAGCAGCAAAAGCCTCTGCAGCAGCAGGAGTAGGCAGCAGCAGGCAGCAGCCAGCACCAGCAGCCAGCAGCAGGCAGGAAAAAACATGAGGTTACAATGACAGTCCTAAAAACGGAGGGTCCTTGACACTCAAAGTATATATCAATCCATCCGTCTTTCTTCCTATGCCACTATCTATCTATCCAACAATCGATCTATCCATCTGTTTATCCAACTGTCTATCTACCTATCTGTCATCTATCTCTCTCTCTCTCTTTCTCTCTCTCTCCCTCTCTCTCTCTCTCTGTCCCTCTATCTATACATCTGTCCAACAATATCTATCCACCTGTTTATCAAGCTGTCTATCTACCTATCTATCAATCTATCTCTCTCTCTCTCTCTATCCCTCTATCTATCCATCAATCTATCATCTATTCACATGTCTACCTGTCTGTCTGTCTGTCTGTCTCTCTATCTATCCATCCATCCATCCATCCATCCGTCCATCCGTCCATCCATCCATCCATCCATCCCCATCCATCTATCCATCCATCCATCTCTCCCTCTCCTCTCTCTCTCTCTCTCTCTCCCTCTCCTCTCTCTCTCTCTCTCTCTCTTCCTCTCTCTCTCTCTCTCTCTCTCTCCCCCTCTCTCTCTCTCTCTCTCTCTCTCTCTCACTCTCTCTCTCTCTCTCTCTCTCCACAGTCCCCCCCAAATAAAGGGGGGTCGGCGGCACCTGGGCGCTAGCCCATTCTATAATATATATATATATATAAATTCAAAATATCTTTGGGGAAACAAGAAAAACACACATCGTCGAACTCTGTGGATCCTTGGAAGCCTCTGCTTTTGAGCACTGGACAACTCAGAGGTGGAGTTGTAGACATGTATCCTTGGCCAAGGGCATTACAGTAGAGTCATGCATGTAACATCTTGGAACACTGGCACCACAAGTCACAACTCATAGGTCTCTGGCACCACATTCTTTGCTCCCTTGACACCTGGCAGTGCAATCAGTGCAGCCGCAAACTGTTTCAGGTGGCCATGCGACCGAGAAATGTTTGCAAACCTACTGGTGCAACCAATAGTAAATTGGGTTCTACGTCTCGGGCTGCACAATGCAAGACAGGCATGAATAATCTTGTGTTTGAGTACTGCTTCTCAGCCGACTTCCCATTCTGTCGATCCAACCAAAACATAACAAAACCATCTGAATCCCCGAAGCTTGTCCTTTGGACTTGTACTAAATGTATCATCGAGGCAACATGTCCAAGCCTTCGATGGTGCGGAGGATCAGTGGTTCTCTACATTGGGTAAGGACCTGTCATGATTGTCATGCCACTGCTGCAAATCCACTTTGGGTTACCTCGGTTACCTCCTAATAATATGATCTATTGGGCAATGGATAGAATCATGGATAATCTTGAAACCCACTGCGAACACTTTCAACCCATCTGAATGCTCTTGGTGCGAGTGGATCATGAAACCCTGCACCATACACCTGCAAAAAACAGAAACCGCGTCAAGCAGTTTATCATGGTTTTTTCCATGGAAAACCGCACTTCTCATCTTTCACCTAGAGACCCATGGCGCTCTGCCTGGATCCAAACATCATCTGGAATAAGGCCCTCGTCAATCACATAACCTCGGACGGATTTGGAAGGCGCCTCTGGCTTGGCAAATGGACCGGACAAAAACTGGCCGACGGCCGCTGAAACGCAACAAATCACCAAGTCCTTGGAAAAGAGGTGAGTATGTCATAGTATGTCTATGTCTTTGTAGTATGTACATGATGCATCTGATGCACAGTGTGAATTTGGCTATCCAAATCAACTATGGCGGAATGGCCGGAAGGGGGCCCCGGCGGATGAAATCAAAATCTGTCTGGCTGGCTGCTGGAAAGCCAACCTGCAGACAGCCAGTGACAGGAAAGATGGATTCCTTCTCACACTCTTTGAAGATGTCATCACAATCTTCACACTGGGAGATGGATCATGAAAATCCACTGCACAGTAGGACGTTCACACGGGGTGCCAGGGATTTTGACTCTTTAACCCATAGCCGCCATAGCCCTATGCTTAAAATGAGGAAGGGAAAGCACAGGTCTTGCTGAGGCCTCGATCTCCTTGTAGCCCAGTTTCAACAAGTGTAGAAATAGACGCAACCTAAGTGGGCAACCATTTGAAACAGGAGCGTCATAGGAATCTAAGTGAGTAAGATCAATGAAGATCATCTAGAGTCCTGTTGAGAAAACTCCCAAAGTGTGATCTGTGATCATCTGCTCCTGCTCTTGCTGGAAGTTTGGAAGTCCAAACGTCAATCAAATGACTTTTAAGAAATTGTATATAAATAGGTTAAATAAGCTTTCAATTTGTTGTGTTTGGAATCGCCCACCCAAAAAAGCACCAGCAATGCTTCTGTGCTTTGTTCATGGCAAGAGCTTAGTTTGGAACTTCTTTTCGTGGTTCATGGGGTTGATGAGAGCCTGCCGAAAGCCATGCAAAAAAGGTGACGAATACAGGGTTTCGTGCAGCGATTACAACAGTAGATCCTAATTTTTCAGGTTGAAGAGGGTTGAAGTGGCTACTAAGCAGCGGCTACTTAGTTTGAATTTGAATGTTTGAATACCAGAGTTGGCACCTCAAAAAACACCCACTCCATGTTGGATGCCATGCAGAATCAGCCGTATCTTTGGTCCCTACGTGTCCGTAGAGCAAATGCGCCTGGTTCCCATCGCGTAGGTCGACGGTGCACCACCGGGGGGCCTGGCCACAAGGGCAGGATGATAGTACCTGGTAGGACCTGGTAGGGCCTGGTAGGGCCTGGTAGGACCTGGTAGGACCACAGAGTGAATCCTGTCTTAATGGGTCATTCAAGGAAAAACGCACAGGAAACATCAGAAAAACATTGTTTTCCTGTACTGTAAGTGTCCCTTCCACTAATTTTGGGACTGAAGGAACTCCCTGTACGAAAACGGAACGGCAGAAGTCAATATCAATCGGTGGCCACAGTCTAAGCGTTTTGGCTGCCCGATGACAGGTTGGCTTCCCTGCTTATCACTGGTGCCAGTATGAACAGGACAGGGAGCAATCGCCTTGCTGATCCGCTTTTCTGGCCAGGATCGCTTTGGCCTGCCAAATCTATCGCTGCCCGCTTGGCATGTCCATGTTTCATCATGTTTCCGTGTGGCTTCAAACAATTACTCTAAACGGGGAGTGAAAGGCTCACTTTGGAGACGGTTGATGACACCCTCAGCTGCCGGCCATTTGTCATCAAAAGGAATCTGGTACCTGGCAGGATGCCGTTTGAGTGATTTTCAACTTGTGACCCATCCACATTTGATCTGCAGGAAGGCATTCGCCATAGGTCAAACCCTGGGGCACCAAGTCTGAAAACTTCTGTACTTCTCCACCTGATGCGGTGCTTCATAAGGAACTGCTAGAGCACAAGCTAAGAGCTCGAGTTCCAAGATGTTCCAAGTTCCTCTGTCCCCCAAGACCGTGACATTCATTCTTGGTAGGCACTCTTCAATGCGAGGCTTCTTCGCAACCTGTTGACCCAACAGACAAACAATGAAACAGAGCATACATGAGGAAGTTTCTATGTTCCGTTCGAAGACTCAAACAGCTGTTTGTATCTGTGGGATTCTTTGATTTCCATGATTCCAACGTCTGCTATCAATAGTTCTCCGATAGAGCTGGGATGTGCTGCACCTTGCCATCGCCGTTCATCTCGACCTGGCTGCAGATTGCCAGATTGCCATCGAAAGAAGGACCCATCCTGACAGACCGAGGTCCGTGCGAGACCAGGTACACACTGTGCCGCGACCCGGAGTCCAAAGGTCCCCTTTGGAACCGAGATAAGCTGAGCCAGAACAGGTGATGCAAATTGAGCTAGCTAGCTGCTGCGCGATGGGGGGATGATACTGCTGGTCTGGTGATAAAGAAAACACAGTCAAAGGAGGTACAGAGATTGGTTGGTCAAATTTCCTTTGCCTTTGACATCCTTTGAGTATGTTTTCTGCTACTAACATTCCACTTAACATACTTAACTACGACACTTCCACTTTGCCAATCTTGGATCATGCAATTTTTCGATCATCTTCCCAGTAACAGATTTGTCGAAGCGTTGCTACAAGGCAGATCTTCCTAGTTTTTTGCCATGCACTTTGGGCAGATCTGTCGGGTCAGCTGCCCTGTGGAAGCCAGGTCTCTCTCCTGACCTGCCAGGCCCATCATTTTCTCGCCCCACTCTGAATTGAATGAAACATAAAAAATGGGGAAATTGAATGGATATTTGCCTCCCATTCTCATCTCATCCACTTTGATCTTGCCCCGTTTGCATGATGTTCAGACCCCAAATCGTGGTCAACACCATGGAATCTGTGACCCGCCTGCTGAGTGCCGAGGCTCGATGCTTTCAGGGACTCAGCCGGGAATATGGGACGCTTTGGGATGGTGGGAACCCCATCTGAGGTCGAGGTCAGACAGCTGGGTTTCAAACCAAAAAGGTACAAAAAGGATCAAAAAGGATCAAAAAGGGCAAAGCTCCACCATGCTTCGGGAATCTCCGCCCAAACAAAGGCATTGCTCTGGGCCCCCCACCGGACGCGTGATGCGCCACAAGATGTCCGCAGCAAAAAAGCCCACAATCACAGACAACTGCCGTGCAATGGCCGTCCAAGCACAAAAGTGGCAGGCTGATGGTGGCTTATGTTTGAACATCCGACAAACAAGAGAACGGAGACTCCACATGCAATCTTTTCTTCATCATACCGCATCAATATGCTGTAACAACTAAGTGATTCCCCGTGCCAAAACTACGTGGTAATGCAAATCAATCTTTGGGCAAGCCTCGATCCGCCAAAAAAATCTATGTTGTCTTTGTACTCATTCTTACCACAAGCACTTTCGACATCACAGCATCCAAAGGTTGCAGTGGCTGAATCCTCACAAAAGAATGAACGAACCAAGCGGGCCACGGCACCGAGAGAATCACCACGACAGTGAAGTAACCCAAGCGCATGTACTCTTCCTGCCATGGACGCCATGGACGGCATGGACCGGACTCAAATCTCCACAGATATCTGAACAGTTGGCACCTTGAATTCCACCTCACAGGTCTCGCCGGAATAGGGTGCTTTGCAGAAGCACACGCCATTCCCACAAATGCCTGGCATGGCTCAACATATTCCAATCGTATTCATAATACTGGAACTGAATCACCAGCTGTCAGTTGATCAAGTTGATTGTCGCCTCGATCTGCAGCGCACGCTGGCTCACAGCTGCCGTCACCGGCGCTCGCGGCCACCTCCGACCTCCAAGCTCTGATTCTACGAGGCTGAAAGGCCAACCTTTGGATGTTCCGAATTTGCTCGGAAGTTCTGACATGTTCTGACTTTAAAACATCTCGAATATAGCTACTTTGGGGGGTTTAGGAAAGCCATAGCCTGAGGGGGCAATCCAAAATAAAGGTGGAGAGATCCACATGAGTTTCTCATTTTTTCATGTGAAAATGTTCAACTTGCAGAGAAGGTCTGCGTTTCGCCTCGCTTCGCTTTGCACTGCTGCCTTCCTGCGGGGGGAGCAGTTTGAATTGTCCCGGGTGGTGCTACAGGGCACTGTCATGCCGGAATCGCGTCAATCCATCATGCATTGTCGGTTTGTAGATTAAGAAGCTATGCTTTATCTAATGTATTCTAATGTCAACATGGGGGGAGACTTTGTCAGACAGAAATCGCCGAATTCCTTGAATTCATCTCAACTGGCCTAGATTATGTGAATAAGAGCCTGAACCTCTCTGATTCAACGATTTTTGGCTTTCCTTTGATGAGTCCGCCCCGGTTGCTGTCTCTTTCCATTCAGCTATCGGCAGCATGGTGTCACCAAATGGTCGCAGGGTGCTACGCTACCTATCCAAAGATATCCAAAGTCTCCAGAGGTTGGAACTCTGATCGACTGAAACTATGATGTTCCGAAGTAAACCTACGTGTGACGCTCACCACTCATCGACACTTGTCCATTTCATCCCTTTTTTGTTCAAAATCGAGTTCCAACCCATCTCGAGTCCTTTCCCACGTTGTTCACAAAAAAATAAAGTCTGCAGGGGAAAAAAGGATGAAAAAAGCACACACATCACTTGACCCGGAGGATGTGTAAGGTACATCGGGACGACTCGAGTCATAGATGATTTCTCTCCGTTGCGCTCGCACGCTGGAGCTGGCACATGTTGTCAGCACGGGCTCATCTGCAAGGTGCAACCTTCTACGACATGTATTTGCTGCAAGTCATCAAGTACAGTGTTTTGAAGCCAAAAACCCAACCGCACTGACAACAGCATGTGCTATCTACCACATTGGCATCATACAGGCACTTTCCCCAAACGTCTCATCTCAGCCAACAGGGTCTGCGCCTGCAGGGCAAGCTCACCCAACTGTGGGATTGTTTTTAAACAAGTTGGATCCTCCAATTTTCTGGCAGAACCCATAAACCAAGGTGGCACCTCGGGAAAAATTGGATTGGAAAACACTCTAGTAGTTATCCGGATCGGATTGGTTTCTCGAAAATTGGAAGTCAATGAAGTACTGTCGGAAAGTATCCCAATCCAATTGGACATTTCCCAACAAAAAACATGGAAATTCCTGCAGGACGTGGAGAAATGCCATAGAACTTCTCTTGGACGCGCCTTGCGAATGCGACTCATGAGGACGGCCGAGGGGTTGGAAGCGCGGAGCCTCAGGCGCCATGAACCGCTCAACTATGATATGCGTACTGATTTCATCATGATCATTACCTATATCTAATATTTAGTTATCTATATTTATCTCACCTCATGATAATTTGTCTTTGGAGATATCCTGATATAATTTCACATATAAATATGTTCTTAGTTTAATTGTTGGTTGAATGTTGAATATGATTGAATCAGTTAGATCTCCATCTTTGGATGTTTCAAATCTGCAAATTCGTAAAGGGTTCGAGCTGGCTTCCAAGTTGGAGACACCCACAGTACTTGGGACCACGCGGCCCTTCGTTCAGAATCTTGCACTGAAGCTCAACCGGCAGAGCCCTGAGAGCATTCTCCGCCTCACCGGAAATGAGTCACTAGAGCTTCTGGTGAAGAGTCCAATATAACATAATATAATATAATAACCCATTAATTAACCAATGGGTACTTCAATAGTCCAATATAGTATAATATAACCCATGGGTTCAACAGTTTTTCTGTTCGCGGCAAGTTTGCATCTCGGATGCCAGCTGAATAGTCCACGGCATGCTGCATGCAGAACTTGGCCACGGGATCACCGGCCGCCGCAGCAGCCTGCGCCAATCAAATGTCAACTGAAGAGAAATCCTGTGGGCCTTTGGGCCTTGGTAAATTTTATGTAAATTTGATCATTTGTTCAATTTGTTCCAGAAGCCTTTCTAAAAAAAAAATGAAACACCCTTGGTATATACTGAGCAGCTCTGCGAACCAGCGGAGAGTTGTCGCGCCCATCCCATCGCAGTGTGGCGCACCACAGTCTCGGGCCGTGGGCGATGCAATCCAGCGGCAGCTGCGGCGTTGGCAGCCTGTGACAAATTGGTCCCCGATGGATTGTGAAGCTAAAAATCTATAAAAATCTGTAAAATCCTGAAATGGGGAACTTGAAGCTATGGAGGTTCAGGGAGCACATCGACCAGTTTCTAAGGTTTCCATGGTATTATTTTCTGTGCGAAAAAGCAAGCACAATACTTGTGGATCCATTTCTTATGATTCACTGAGATTTTGGCTCCAGCATTGTTCTCAACCTCAGCAGCATCTGTAGAGATCAACGTTCTTCGGAGCTTCCATTCTTCCCCGCTATGGATTTTTCAGAGGATAGTATCTTGACTGACAAGGCATGCCTCTACCGTCCAGTTTCTCTGCCCAAGTACCACAGCGGAACAAAGCTGAAGCGGTGTAAACTTCACAAATTCGCTGAATTCACCAGTGTTTGACCAGAGGTCATTGGCTGTTGAGTTTTCCCCAGTCGAATCTGCAAAGTTCAACCCTGTGTCAAAGAGCAGAGCTGCTACGGCCTGGCTTGTCTCGTCAGCTTTTTGACCGCGCTAAGCATCGCAGCAGGGACAGCTAGCAGCAGCTAGCGCTTCTGGAACGGGTGACCGTTCGGAACCATCTACAGCCATGATGACTCCTGTTCACAAACTAAACACAGTGCACAAGTGCACAAGTTTCTGAACATTGAACATCCGGGGGTTCACCGTATCAAGAAGCTCAAGAAGCTGGCTCGCTCCCTTTGTGAAACCCAAATGAAAGACCTCGGTGTTGACGCAGCTACGGCTCATCCAGTGCAACGAGAACTGGTTCGTTCCCGTCGCCTCATTGGCTCGGTCTGCCAGCCCCGAGGCTGGAAGATACTTTCCTTACACAAAATGAACCTTGCCATCGCCAACGGGCAGGAACTGCTGGTTGGCCTGACAGCTTTCCACAGCAACTCTCAGGCCAAAGAGTTGCAACATGTTGCAACTTGAGGCCCAAGGGGTGAACGAAAGCTAAGGTTCATATAATACATATGAGTCTGGAAACATCTGGAAACAATGGGATTTATGCTGAATACAGATTGTCTAGAACCCTGGCAGGATTTTGACGGGAGGAGGGGGGTTCAAGTGAAAAATCACTGTGTTGGAGTCAGACCTGCCCCTCCCCTTGCTGAAGCAAGAGTAACTCCAGCTAGCTACCGCTAGCTTTCGTGATCTGCTCCCAAACAAATCTCCATTTCCTTCCATCATTTCCAAACCTATCGTCACCCGCTCTGTCTCACCCCACGCACCTTGCGGTTGAAACTCACCGCACCAATGAACACCGCCAAAAGGAAGAGCCCAGAGCCCGCCACGATGAAAGTCCCCGTCCCCGCGCCGGCGCGCTTGACAAGGTGATCATAGCCTCACCACATCCAAATGATATTACACATGGAGCGATGAAACATGGAGCTGCGTCATGGTTCGTTATGTGATAGTAAGAGTACGAATGGCCATGAAAAGAAAGATCGATGACAAATTTGAAAATAGTGACTGATTATATAGATATGACTGATACAGTATGATATACTATTATTAATGATACTGCTTGTAATCTTATATAAAATTATCCTTAAATGATCGTCGTTAATGATCATCTTCTGCCAGGCCACTGGCAAAGAGCTCCTCATCTTCGCTCCATTGTGACATCCATTGCAGCTCCTCCCGCTTCATCGTTGCCAGGGGGATCTCTGCCCGAGTGTCCTGGCGTGGAAATGGTGACATGTTGAAACGACCTGCCGAATCAACCTGAGGCTATTGTTGCTGCTGGTCTTGGAATCTTGGAAGCTGCAACAATAGCTGGGCTTCAACAAAATAGCTGCGATGTCCAATCAGGTCTTCGATCGGACGATTCGATTGGAGGTTTCGGGATACTTCCTTGTCTGCCCCACGTTGAAAAATAGCGGAGAAGTCACCTTGCCTTATCCGGCTCTCTGCTGGCAACCCTGGACCGAAAGATTTTTCCCTTAAGATCGCAAGCAAACCATGGAACCTCCACTACCCAACCACCACACTCAGCACCCCGCCAGTGCCTTGGCATGAGCTTCCATCTCGTCATCAGATGCCAAATATCCATCACCATATTCGTTGGGAGACCGAGATTGAGCAGAACCAGACTTGTGCGGGAAGAGGCAATCCTTAGCAAACCATCAAGGTCACTGCAGCATTCCTTTGGAAAGCAGGAGTTTCAAGACCCTAGAAAGGCTCAACCAAAAACAGAACATGTCTTATCAATTCTTATCATATCTTTATATTATTTATATCATATTATCTTTCATGTTTCTCAATTTTCTCAGATCGTTTCCCAGATCTCTGGCTCCAACCGTCCCTGGAGCCGAGACTCTCTTGGGAAGACGTAGTGCAACCATTGTGCGAAAAGCCTCCCGTGGATTGGCACTTGACCGCCATGCTCCTTGGCGATGGACTGCAGCTGGCTCACCATGAAGTCATCCAGGAGGATGTCCACCTAGGATCCAGAGATATCCGGAGATATCCGGAGATATCCGGAGATGTCTCAGATGTCGGGATGCCTGAAAACTATGTTTGACATGACATCTCGATGAATAATCTTCGAAAACACCAAGAGAGATAAGAGAGTCCAATAGTCTTTGACCCGCCCTGGTTTTTGATGGTCTTTGTATCCTTTCCGATTCCTGAAATGTGAAACAACATGTTAAACAACATGTCAGTGAAACAACCGGAATCGTCTTGGTGGTTCAAAGCTCCTTCCATACCTTGCCTCGTCCTCCAGGGTATTGAGCGCAGTCATGTTCCCCACCAACGACAGCAGGTGTTCGACAGTCGCCATTGGACTCTTTACGGCCTCTTCCTCGGACGTTGAGGCCACAAACGACACACCATTCGCCGTGCTGTGCTTTCCACCCTGATCAGCATTGTGTCAGCTCACCAAATTCTGATGGAATTCTGTTGGCGCCAAGAAGCTATCTCTGCCATGATGGGCTCGCACTCATTGATGCAGCAAATGGAGTAATGGGAGGCCGTGACAATACCTCGCGAAGAAGCCCATGCAAGGCCAACAAAAACAAACGCAACAAGCTATCATGAATATTCATGAATCATAAAGCAAACAAGTGTTTCGCAAGAGGTTTAGACTAAACTAAGTGGTAAAGGCTCTGCCTTTCTTATCCATTGCTTTTTTCAGAGGTTGATCGAATCTGCTTGAACAAGAATGAAAGAGAACCAGGCCCCATAACCGTTGCCATAACCTGGTGAACATGATTGTTGATGATTGTTGCATACAATTTTGATTCGGCTTTGGTTCAACAAAACTGGCCAGGTGGCAATTGGAGGCTCCTTGGATGTAGTTGGGAATGATCACTTGCTTCCCCAAACGCGCTGAGGTCTCATCCAGAGCTCCCAGCTCTCGAAGGTAAGATTCAGATTCACCAAAGCGCCACTCAGCGTCCGTGATGGACTTGCCGTAGAACTTGCTCAGCGGTACTCGGCCTGTTCCTGAGAGGGCGCCCAAAATGAATGCCAACAAGAGTGTCAGAAAATGTCAGAAACCTGTTTGCAGCGGGGTTCCAAAGTGGGACTGTGACCTATCGTCAAACTTCCTTTTCCGGCCCCAATCATATTGAAAGTCGAATCCCAAGGAATGGAGATGACCCATCAGAAAACAGCGGAAGAGATGTGCATCTCATTTCCCCTATTTACCCTCAGCTCATAGGTTCAGCCCAAGTCTCTTTTGCTATCCAATGTCACCAGCTTTTGCTTCATCGCTCTGCACCTTGGTGCAGCCCACCTTTGAGTCTAGTTGAAGGCTTTACACGGCTAAGCGGCTAACCAAAGGCTGTACCAAAGGTTTTACCAAAGGCACCAAATGACCCGTCCTTTGTGACATTTGTGACACAAATGCAGCATTTGCAGCTCTGCCACTCGGATTCCCAAAAGGAGGCGAAGGAATTGGTGATTCCACCTGCGAAAACGTCCCGAGCCCAAGTGAGACAAGTAAAAATACCATCGCTGATTTGTCGTCGACATCCGTCGACAACAAGAGCGCCTACAACCGCATGGGCATCTTGGAAGGAATAGCCTCAGATCACTCAGATCACTCAGATCCAGCACGCGCATGCCACATCAAGCCGGTGCAAACTGGACCCAGCCCAGCCCTGACAGGCGACGTCTCTGAAACAGCTGTTGTCCTTGTCCTCCGGGTTGTCCGGTCACTCGGGCTCGTTGGGATGCTTGGTGACTTCTCTCATAGTCCAGTGCCTTGGGATTGTTGCGACGTTTTGTGCAGGAAGCATGTCAATATCTCACCACATCTCACCACATCTCACCACATCTCACCACATCTCACCACATCTCACCACATCTCCATCGTTGCGAAACGTCAGAAACATTGAAGCTGGAACAAATCCTACTTCCATGTATCTTGATGACTAAGGGAGGCAACAGGGGCTGGGCTCACCAAAGATCCTGATCTTTGGTGACCTTGAAACTGTGGCGACCCACCAAATGTCAGAAACTTAGCACAACAATCTATAGAATGTTAAGAAAATGTTAAGAAACTAACAAAACCCCCAAACTATCCCAAACTGACTTGTGAAACAGGAATCCCACAACATTCACATTGCAGCCGACGGCGCAGAAATCTGGCCAGCCACGAATTTCAGCAACTGATCCCAGTGTGGGAAGACCTGCACGCCAAAAAATGGTAGAAATCTCTACTCTCAAAGACGGGCAACACGGTTAAACAAAGACGTTTCAAGTGATGGTAATGGAGCCAAATCCTTGGGTCCAGCCTTGAGTTGATTTGCTTTTCTGATTTGCTTTTCTGATTTGCTTTTCTGATTTGGTTTTCTGATTTGGTTTGGTATCCTTTAGTTTCCCCATGTTTCCCCTGTCACACGATTTTACTGTGACTAGGATAAGCGTGTGAGGCATCGTGTGGTCAGCCGCCGCCTGTGCCAATTCTTTGTTGTTTCCAAGCCTTGGCTTCGGCTGCACAATATCCACTCCGGGGGCAAATTCAGAACAGCTAAAACATCACTTGCGCAAGCTTAGCAAGCTTGACAACAAGCCACGTGCTAATGATTTCATCACCAGCCATCCACACAGCAATGTAGGCCTGCAAGCAGGTGGCCTTTGCATGACAAAATGCCAACATGTTCTTCTAGCATATCCTTTGCACCGAGCAAATCAATGGTTCTCTTCGACTACCTGTAGCGCCCGTAGCATTCGTAGCATCACATACAAGCTGCCCAAGTGCTCGTCTTTCCCGCCTCAAGGAGTTGTTGCAGTCCCATCGTGGACAACGGCCGTGTCGTAGGCTTGTTCTGGAGGTCATAAACCTCCGATGGGTCCGAAACTTAACGATCAAAGCAAGCCAAAAATCAAAAACAATCAAGGTGTTGTCTGGCCGAGTCTGGCCTGTTTGATTGCCCTCAATATGGGGTCCTCATATATGACTGCATTATGACTGCACTTGACATGACTGGCCTTGTGGAGACATGTGAAAGACCCAGTCGCTGCCCGCTTTTTTGTCAACGTGCCAATCCAATCTGTAGATTGGTACATCTGTCAACCACGCCCTGGCTGCTGCAGTTTCAGAGAGGTCCGGCCCTGAGAGTTCTTGCAACCCTTTAAAGGCAAGGCCTTTCCACTCCACAGCAGTCCACGCCCCAGAGATCAATGCCAGCCATTCTTTTGCAAAGCCCGAGTTCATTGCTGTGCGAAATAAAATCAAACTTCCGTGCCATTCAGAATTGATCATGAAGAGTGCTTTATAAAATGCTCTAAATCGCTGCCAAAACCAGAAAGATTGGCGAAGCTGCGAAGCTGCTGTTTCGATCTGTTTCGATGCAACGGCCTGATGGCATGATCACAGCTCGAGGCTTCTGCAATTCCCCGAGCAAATCTCCCCACTCTCCCCACAGCTCATCGATCAGTTGGCTCCAATTTAATGCCTTGGTAAGGTCCCATTCGGAACGACGGTTAACGCACCAACCAGAGATGGAGAAGGACCAGGTTTACCAAGCAAAAGGAGTTCCTGAGACAGACTGTCATGTCGAGTTTCTATTAAAATGTACAAGGCCATTTGATAAGCCGGAGCTGGATATTCCCAAGTTCTGTAAGTTCGCATTCGCTTCAATAGTAATGCTGCTGGCATGCCTGGAGTAAAACCCGGTTCTGAACTGAACTATCGCAAGAGAGAGAGAGAGAGAGAGACAGAGAGAGAGCGAGAGAGAGAGAGAGACAGAGAGAGAGCGAGAGAGAAGTTCATTACATTGCTGCAAGTCGAGTATGTTGAGTAATGATTTTGACCACTGCAGTCTCGATCTGCTAAAGCCTCGAACAACCCCAAGGGATGATCCTTGCTACATTCCCATCAAATTCAATGGCAGACCAGGTTTTTGAAGCCGCCACAACTCCAAGATTTTAATCTGCTTTGTTTGTGTCGTGCAGGAATGTAACTCCGGAGGGAAAAAGCAGAAACAAGCAAATAATGTTTTTCGTTGAAGACAGATATATACATGACTGAAATCAAGCAATATATCTAAAAATATCTAAAACATCCAAGTATACATCAGTTTCACAAGACAAAACAGTTCTGTCCAAGCTGCTCACAAATTCCGGCCACTCCTTGAGCTCCTCCCGAGGGTCTGGGGCTGGCCCCTCCGGTGTCGCGTCCACATCCACATCAGCTTCGACAGGAGCCTCCTGCCATGGCTACATGAAGCTACAAAGGAAAACGAAGGAATGGAGGCATCAAATGCAACAGCTTCCTGTCTCCAATCCAAAGATTTGAGTCATCAATTCCATCTCAACTCGTCTCACCTTTTACTCATTCTCATTTCGGACCATTCTACTCATTTTACATCATTTTACTCTGCAATCTCTGAAACCATTTCGGACTTCTAACATCTAACTGTGCACCTCGGCCTCCAGAGGTTTCTTGCAACGCATGCGCCTCTTCGGCCTGCGGGTGCGGGTGGACACTCGAATGGCAATGGGCTCATAATGGGCTCCAGCTCATTGCCGCGGTGTGATGAAGCGCCAAGTTGATGAATTTCTTAGGGCTACCTTCATAACTCCACATATGCTGGGGCACCACTTCAGGCTCTGATGGAGCACCGCTTCATGTCAACGCAAGTCACTGATGTTAACCGGTGTTCCCCCTTTTTGTTCCTGCACCGTTTGTTGAAGATCTTGACAACTGAAAATTAATTCCAAGTCTCATTCCTTTGGTTGGTTTCCCAAATTAGAATCACCATCTGAATGCATGTGTGATGATATTATAGTTGAGATCATCCCGAATTCTCCAGAGAATACTGCATATATTCTACATATTACCATTTTGATATATATTCTATATTATATATATAATTATATATATATACATATATATATATATAATAGTATATTATATTATATATATATATATTATTATATATTTTATACTATATATATAAGGTTTTTAAGTTTATATGCACAAACGTCTGTATCACCAACCTGGATGATTATGTAGCGAAGATACCCACAAAATATCAAATGTTATTTTTAAAATATGTTTAAAAAATGTCCATGCCCATCTGAATCTACGCCCTGTTCTTAAAGTCCAGTGCTAAATTGCTCCAGTGTTGTGCCGCTCCTGCAAAGGTTCCGTGAAGCTTGATATATATATATATGTAATCCTAAATGATTTCCAGAAAACTCAATTGAGCAATGTCAAGACTTTTGGAAAATCACCAAAATTCTTCTGAAGTATTGGACCATTGGAGGTTCCCAGCTCATGAATTATGCCAGTACCTTGGGGGTGCAGCTTGCTCCTCTTGCTCTTCCGGATCCTCAGAAAGCGTTGGAAACCAAACACCTGCTGCACTGAGAACGAGCTGATTCTGTCACACCTGCTGCACTGAGATGGAGCCTAGAAGCTCTCAACCTCCATATATCTCTGATGTGAGGCTAGACTTGTTCATAATCCTTTGGTTCCGCTCTTTTATCTGATCGCAAAGGACTGAGATCAATTCTTTAGTCATGGCCATTCTATGTCTTTGTGTCACCCCGAGTCACTCCCTCCTCCTTTTCTTCCTTCTCCTCCTTGACCTTCCGTTGCCCTCTGGCTCGGGTGTAGGCTTCCACCTTTGCGTTGAGGCGCAACTCTCAGCAATCACTCTTGGTCTGCACCTCCATAAATTGGCTAGAAAATGCTAGAGACTGATTTGAATTGGTGTGAAGTCAGGAGACATGGATAAGAATGAGCTAAACCTCATCCAGGTTTGTAGTTAAGGACTTTAACATACTTTAACAAAAGTCCAGCGGCTGCTTCAGCCCTTCAAAATCTTCAAATTGGGAATCCCGACCCCAGCAGGCTCCAGATGCTCAAAATGCAGAGTGGCCGATGGTGTCCTCGCAGAATCAGCTTGGCTGTAACATGTTGCTGTTATGTCAGCTATGTGTTGCTTAGGACTTTCCGTCCTGAAACAGCAATGCTTGCAGAGCCGACCGTCGTCTTCAGAGTAGCGCTTCACACTCAACAGGGGGCCTGCCAGATAGTTACACCGGTTGCACCGTTACACCTAAGGAGTCGCTGCGAACCATAGAATCACTACACCTAGGGCATTGTGGGGCAATCATCTGTCGTCAAGGTACACTGGCATACAAATCAACTTGGAACCAAACTGTTCACTCCAACCAGTTGGCAAATCTTCCGAATTCGCACAGCAGACTTTGCAGAAAGGTAGCTCAGCCACCTGATCCCCATGCTTTGGAATCCAGCAGCGCTTTGTTGTCCCCAAAGCAGTTTGGTGTCATGGCCTTGGGACCAAAGTGACCAAAGGTTGATGCGACTGGTTGAAGGACCTGAAGGATGTGACTTCGCATGAAAAGTCTGAAATTCCAAAAACTTCCAGCAGAACGTCATGGCATTCCAACCGATTCCACCCCTGTCCAACCAAGCACTGCAACTGGATGATATGTTTCACCACATTTCACCACCACATTTGCTGCAAGAGGCAAGGTGAACCTTTCCACTCCCCTCCTGGAGTCTGCAATGCTGCCACAAGTTGTATGTGGCTGCTTATGTGGCCAAGACTGAACAAAAATTGCCAAACAGCATGAGATCATGGAGTCCGCACGTTCCTGTGAGTCAATGGCCACTTCTGTCACTGCAGTAGCTCCCATGGCTTCCCCCTGTCCTCGCAAATCACCCGCTCGCCGGGTTCACAGAGCCGTTGTGCCAGCTTGATGTTGTCTACTTTTGAGACTTGTCCTGAGAATGACAAATGGACTACAACGAGACTACTAGAGATCAGGATGGAAATGATTGGAAATACAACCAACTCAAAGTGAAAGGGGTTTTTTGTCCCCCCACAGGTATCTTTGAGGGGATGGATACAACCAGCATCAACCAGCACTCAGTTTCCAGTATCGAACAACCCCACAGAAGTGAAGGCGGAAACAGAAATCTCTGGGATCTGATCTGACTAGCTCAGATCAACACAATCGACCCAGAAAACAGAACCTGTGAAGTGCCGCCAAGAATCCCAGCAGGCGATAGGCGATGTTTTCAGCACTAGAAGGAGGCTTCACAGCTACCATGGTGACACCACCACTGCCAATGTGGTCCACGACCCTCAGTTTCCATCCAAATTGCAGAGGAAAGGCTGGAGTGCAAGTCCGTGACAAGAAGTCTTGGGTATGTTGGGGGGCCACGTAAGCAGCTCTTCTGAGAACTTCTGACCACCCCATACCTTTCAACCCTTCCACATCATTGAAGTCGGGCCCAGAAACTGATCAATCACCTTGTTCTCCATGTCACTGCGCTGTGAACCTGGGACACTCGACACTTAGATGTTGGATGGATCGCCCACTGCAGCCATGACCCTCCGTGACAGGGCACTCCATTCAAGGGTGAATTCATCAACATCCAGTGCTCCGCCACTATAGCCGGCCTTGGCTTGAAGTTTCAACTGATTTCAACTCAAGTTTCAAGACACTTCGCCACACACAATCTATGACGCTGAAACTCCTTTGACAACAATCCCTTCTGCTCAGCAAAAACTGTGCGTGTTGGTGGCTTCTTAAAAAATGGCATACATATCATAGCTACCCCATTGGCATCCCCGTGTGCATATCCATCCTACCCTTCAAAACTTTAAGCGACGAGGTTCCAAAGTCTTGCTGCCTCGCGTCTGTGCCCCACAAGCTGGGGCGTTGCGAAACCTCAGAGCGGGTTTTTCGTTCTGATGGACATACCCGGAGTAGCCCGATGAGGCCCGGAGGCATTTCCAGGACTCTCCCAGGTGCGGTCTACCAAGGCCTCTACCAACCTCTTCGAAAATTCAGGATCTGTCTCGCATGGTTGCCACTGAGGCCTGGACAGCACTAGCAGGTCTTCCTTTTGGAGTTTGACCTTACCAGCTGACGCGGCACAATCATGATGTCCACATGTACCAAGCCTGGGAGCGAAAAGACCTTCAGGTTCCAGTTTCAGAGGTCAATAGAAGCACAAGCGGGAGCCAAACTTATTTTCAAACCTAGCGTTCTCTTCTGCCGTATGACTCTTTCTCAGGCTACAGAAGGAAAGTTCATCACAACATGAAACTCCTGTATCTTGGTAAAACATGGTAGAACCTTGTAAAATGCACAAAGCCACATAAAACCATATAAAACCCATATAAAACCTATGAATTTCCCGTGGATTTCCCCCTAGCTCAAGCATCGAACATGTCTGGGTGCCCCTGCTCTGCGAGCCTTGGCTTCGACTGGCGCCTCGACAGGCACCTCGACAGCACCTTCGGCGCCTGCAACGCCTGCGGCAGGAGCTCCAGCATCGCCTGGAGGGACCGGCTCCCATCGGCTCCTCACCTTTTTGATGAAAAAAATCATCCAAATATATCAACAGATATCAACAGTATATCCAAATCATCCTGATGGGGAAAATATGGGAAAATCCTGATTTGGGTCCTTCTCATCACTTTTCTTAGGGCTGGCGGCTGGCCTTATGATCCTGCGATCCAGGGGTAAAACAGCCAGCCTTCAACCGGGGCTTCAGCAGCTGGTGCTTCAGCCACCGGCGCTTCAGCATCCGCCGCTGGGGGTACCACCGGGGGTGCCATGGCAGGTGCAACTGGCGCCTCCACCGGTGCAGGATGAAGAAGGGATAGACCCAAGGGACCCAAGAGAAATTCGTTTGATTTTGGGGCAATACCCATGGATCTCATGATGGCAGCAGCTTAAAATGCAAAGCTGACGTCAGGATAGGACGGGATAGGCTGATCTGAATTCTAAATCTCAACTTTCTTAGCCGCGTTACGTGGAACATATTACACAAGAGGATCAAGTCGCAAACCCTTCGTCACTTTGCAGCAACACACATCTCAGCATGGTGAGCACCTTCGATCGCATTCGAACGCCCACGAGACCAGTGCCCAGTGCTCCAAAAGATATGGTCCACTCACCATCAACGACCTCAAATCACAACGTAATTTGCATCGCATTGGCAAAATGACTATGTCCGTTCAGAATCTTTTCACACCAAGGACCCAGGACCCAGTCAGCAAGTCATACGTCAAAGTGGGCCACCCGGCCTGGTTGATGAAGCCCACCTGGGACTGCGGTGATCCCAAAAATGGGATTATTTATGGATATGCGTTGAATTTTATTGAACATTCATATATGACATTGTATGATATTATATGGCTATGGATTATCTTTCCATGTTTGCAGTCATTTATTGTCATTTATCATAATATCCTCTATGAGTAGTTTATGGATGACTGAACCCCCAATCACTCTCCAAATCCCAAACCCACTTCTGAGGGCCACCAGGAGCTCCAGAGTTTTCAATCAAATCACCAGTCTCCCAAATAAAATGCTTCACCATGCTTCACCAAATTCTCACTTCGGAGTCCATTGTCAACGTCATCCGAGGACTTCTGCAGCTGTCCGCAGCACCGCTGGGTTTTGCACTTGGTTTTTGTAGAACTTCTTGCCCCAGTCCTGCGAACCAATGCCCCTCGGGTTCGTTTTTTAAGTGGAATCTGGTGGATTCAAAGGTTCTCAAAAAAACATGATCCGCACAAGCTTGTCATCTCTGAAGTAGTTTTGCTAAGACCATCTTCAACCAGCTTTACCAGGCACATCATGTTCTGAAGATCTCCAGGCTATTTTTTTTGAATAGAATAGGTAATAAGATCTAGTCACTCTGGTCAAAAGTCAACTTGTCATCTGCGGGAAATACTGCCCATGCCAAGGCCCTCAAATCACATGGTGCCAGTCTCTGCTGCCACTTTCCAAGCCAACTGGGCCCCGTACAAGGCCACTTTCACCCTCGAGTTTACAAGGTTTTTCAGACCTTGACAAGCGACCACGTGGGTAATAAGGGTGAAAAAATGATGAAATAATATGTGTCGTTCATTGCTTTTTTGTACTCGAGTGGTTATTGACTGAAATCCAACAAACGAGATGTTGAGGATTTTGAGGCCGTGTGTCTTCTTTTCCGGAAGAGAAATCTGGGGTGCCAGACCCAGCTTTTTCAGATTTGCTCTCTTTCTTTTCTTTCTTTTGTTTTTCCGACTTTTCAGCCACCTTCTCCCTCCTGCGGCTTGAGTTGGTGACTGTCCCGAAGAAGCCATGGACTCACCGAAATAGTAGAGCTATACGTCAGAAACCATCAGAATGTTCGCTTTGAATACGTGAATTGGCCATGATAAGTTTCGCCATCTACCAACAGTTTCACCATTCTGAAAAATGGAAGCTCACTGCAGAGTGCCTCCGTTTGATCCAGTTGGACTTTGGCTGTTTGCTCTTGGCTTTCGCCTGGGGCTCGGCCTTGGCCTTAGCCTTTGCTTTGGCCTTTGCTTTGGCCTTGGCGGTTGCCGCACTCTTGACCTTTATTCCCTTCTCTTTCTTCACCTTTGCTGCGCTCTTGGCTTTGGCCTTGCTGCATCGCAACGCTCACTCCGCTTTGTCAACTCCGTGCAAGATGTTGCGAGACTGCTCACAGGTGACCTTTCCTGAACACTCCACACCTTGGCTGCAGTCTTGGAGGCTTTCGCTTTCACTTTTGCCTTGGCCTCTTTCTTAACTTTGAACACCTGAAGCACAAGAGACCCTGCATACTCGGCTTGTGCACAGAACGTAGAAAGTGGTCCTACAAAGTAGTCATCTCGCCTTTTTCAGGGTGATCCTGGGTTCCATCAACTCTTCACCTGGAACATTTCCCATTGTTTTCCCATATCCGGACCTTGCCTTAGTTGGCTTGGCTGCTTTGGTTGATTTGTCGTCCTTTTTCTTTGGCTTGGCTTCCGCCTTGGATTGTCCAACACAAGCTCTGTTGGAACGCAAGTGCTGAATCGCTGGTATCAGAGCATTCACAATGCTCAAACTCGGAACCGGCCTTGTCCTTCTTTATCTTGACAGACTCTTTGGCCTGCGAAGACTCAACTTCCTTCTGAAAGAACCGGTGTTACACTGCATTTGATCCATTAGATCCATTAGATCCATGAGAGCATAAACAATATAAACATTTGAGGCTCTAACTTTGTAAAAAATCGAAAAGTCACAGGACGGCAGCACGGCTTCTCCAGGCTTCTCCCGGCTTCGGCCTCCGCAGCCACGTCAGCATCGTTGATGTCCTTGGCCTCGAGCGAAGGGGACGGTCCGGGCCGAGCCGCCAAGGCTCAGGACCGTTGAGGACGGTCTACGGGCGAGTGACGAGACTCAAAATGTGACCGGTCGAACAGAAAATGGCGTGCCATTGCGTTCCATGCGCAACTGGTGACATCTGGTGCTGATCATTGCTGATCACACTTCACCTATCTTCACCTAAGACTTTGATGCTCGAAGTGTGTTCCGTTCATATGACTGCAAGCATCAATCGTGACTTGCAGCGGGTTCAATAGTAGGGGCAATGGGAAGCAATAATATGGTGGGCCTTGCCTGCAAAACTTTATCCTGTTCTTCACGCACCACAAATGCTGCTCAGAATTGGAGAAGCACACCGTGGAAGACAAAAATGCATGTCCGCAGCTTCTACGAAGCCTGACCCATCATATCCCTTCCACGCCACACCTTCGCTAGAAGCGCCCCAAAGCTCTTGATTGTCGTCTGCGCAGCACGAGTAGATACGAGTAGGCATTGGCAGGAAGATGGTCCGAACAGCTCAAAATAAACACTAAATCAGTACGCATAATTCACACATCTACAGTACTACAGTGTATGGGTGCACAAGGGGCATCGTTATGATATGCTGTGATGCAGCCTGTTCCATCTGGCTGGTTGCTCGGTGTTGAGAATGAGAGGGTTCTTCTACGACATGCAGATTTGTAGCTGTTGCAGCCTTCAGGCATCAAGCTAAGTTGTGTCCCCAAGTGGACACCCGCCTGACCATTGGGAAGTTTGGCCATCCCGGGTCCAGACATGGTGTTTGTTGTGATGCAACACTCAGGGGAGGTATCTGTTCCTCTGGTTCTGTAAATAATCTGAGCAGAATTTTCTGACAACATGCAGAAACGAAAGCGTTTGTCTGCGAGACCTCTCCATAGCAGCTTCGCAAAGTGTCAAATTCTAGTAAAATTGTGTGTCTAATATCTTGTCTGCTGCCGGTTTACCGGGTCCCTTTAAGTTTGATGCTGTCTGCTTGGCTATGGGACCGTTTTGGAGTTTTGGGCTTGGCTCACCTGCTCACCATCTTTGTTCATGTTTGAGCCAAAAAACTCGTGCAGAATGCATTCAGAATGCAATCTGATCCCCACCCGGTCCTGAGCAAAATGCAGGATTCGTTCGGATTCGTGGTCTTTCTGTGTGCCTGCAACCTTCGGATCCTTCTTAAACAAAGGGAGGGAAGATTAAGCTTCTCAGCTCAACCTTTCAGCGCTTCCAATTTCGGCTTCCATGCATTCCATGGTCGTCCCCCCTTGTAGCACCTTCCCCAGCAGAGTGCTCTCCGAATCGAAGATCAACTGCTCTAGGGTGCTCACCTGGGCCGTCGACATCCCCCGCCACCGAACCAGGTCGTGGAGTTTTACCCCATCCGTGAACCAAACAGTTCAATACAATGTGCCAGCACACCCATTCCCTATGATCATATATGTAATCCTCCGTGGCTTGCTATACGTGTACCATTCAAACCAGCCTAACAACCCTCGTCAAAACTCTGGTACCCCTGTGAACATCTAAATGGAAGTTCATTCCCCCAAATATGGTTGGTATTATAGGTTCTCATCCATACCACCAGTAAATCTTGAGAACTTGTCATCATCCTGGCTACCCTGGGGATCCCTAGGGATCCCTAGGGATCCCTGGGGATCCCTGGGGGACCACACCATGAGTGCTGCATCTCGGATGTCGAAGCCATGCTCTGACGTAGACTGCAGCACTGATTCCACGAAGCCAGGAACCTGCGTCGAAGCACAGCTGCATCACTGGATCAACTGATATCAGTGATATCAGTTGCAAAAAGGATTCCAAACTCGTCCAGCAAAGATCAACAAATATTGTTGGGATGTTCTTGTGGATGTGGGGGGGTTGCACCCTCCAAGTGGGTTGAAGGTGCTCCTAAAATGTTGATTCGCCACACCCAGTAGGCCGCGAAGACTGAAGCATCCTGCTACATTTTGGAAAGTTCTTTCAGTTTGGACAAAGGTGGACAAAGAACTTTGTCAACTGCCTGCTCACTCAAGATTTGAGCCACGCCCCAGCTGGAGTCATTCACAACTCGAGTGGGCCTGGCAGTGGAAGAGTTATAGATGGATCAATGATTCGCTGCAAAAGATTCGAACAAAGATCAGATGAGATACTGCCATACACCATGGTTTGGTCTCGAAATACGCACCTGAAGGACCATGCTTACAGCAAAGCAATGAGCCACCCATCGGTTCAGAGATGTTCGGGGTCCCATATTTTGCGGCCCTTTTGCTCCGAATCCAAAATCCTCACAATTCGGCCAAGGAACTCAAAGCCATGCACTACCAAAGCGGACTTCCGGTGGAAGTAGCGGTATGCCAGGTATCTGCGCAAATCAACGCCAATTTCGATATCAGCTTGATATTGCATGATACAACCACTGAAAAAAAAACGACCATGCAGGCAGCTGCAGGCATAGACTCTCCATGTGTCTAGTGTAGTCTCAAGCTTATCACCAACCTCCACGGTTCGCAACATCATCCACTCCATTTCTGGTGGGCTGCCCTTGGTAACCACCGAAACCACGTTCCACCTGAGGGATCGCCGCTCGATACGGCCATAGCTGTTCTTGGGCAGGGTGATGTACATCGGATGTAAGACCTGGCACCAACGAGGCCAGTACTAATTACAGCTCTTTAAAAAAAATTACACCGGCATAGACCCCAGATAGAAAAGGTTGGAACTGATGGTTCAGTTCCCAACGTGGTTCAGTTCCCAACGTGGGAACCAAAGGTTACCATGGCAAGGAACTGCCGGTTCCCAGACCTTGAAACTTACGGTTCCCAACCTGGGAACCAGAGGTTACCATTGCAAGGAATTGCCGGTTCCCAGAAGTTAGAATTTATGCTTTCGAAGCTAAGCAACTATCATTGTAAGGAACTGCGGATTCACAAAGTTTGAAACTCATGGTTCCAAACCTGAAAAAGCATACGTTACCAGTGGAAGGATCTGTTGATTGCACAAAGTTAGAACTCATGGTTCTTAATGTTGTTTTGTTTTGTTTACTGAGCCGGTAACAGAACCTTTTGTTTTGCTTAATGGACCGGTAGCGGAATGTTTGCGTTTGGCTGTTGGGCCGGCATAAAAAAGTTTTTGCAAGAAAAAGGTGCATGTCAAAATGATATGAAAACAGTTTCTTTACAATTTTATGGTTTTGCTTAATGGATCGGTACAGAACGCTTTGTTTTGCTTAATGGACCGGTAGCGGAATGTTTGCGTTTGGCTGTTGGGCCGGCAAAAAGAAAGTTTTTGCACGAAAAAGGTGCATGTCAAAATGATATGTAAACAGTTTCTTTACAATTTTATGGTTTTGCTTAATGGACCGGTACCGGAATGTTTGCGTTTGGTTCATGGCAAGGAACTGCCGGTTCCCAAAGGTTGGAACTCACGGTTGCCAACGTGGGAACCACAGGTTATCATTGCAAGGAACTGCCGGTTCCCACAGGTTAGAAGTCATGGTTCCCAACCTGGGAACCAGAGGTTGCCATTGCAAGCAACTGCCGGTTCCCAGAGGTTGGAACTCATGCTTCCCAACCTGGGAACCAAAGGTTACCATTGCAAAGAACTTCCGGTTCCTAAAGTTGGAACTTACGGTTCCCAACGTGGGAACCACCATGGCAAGGAACTGCCGGTTCCCAGACCTTGAAACTTACGGTTCCCAACCTGGGAACCAGAGGTTGCCATTGCAAGGAATTGCCGGTTCCCAGAAGTTAGAATTTATGTTACCTTTGCCAGACTTCGCCACTGCAGTCTGGACAGCACCCTGCACAGCACCCTGCACAGCAATTTTGCCAGACCGCAGTCTGGACAACACCCTGCACATCACCCTGCGCAGCACCTTTGCCAGACTTCGCCACCGCAGTCTGGACAGCACCCTGCACAGCACCCTGCACAGCACCTTTGCCAGACTTGCACTAGTACAGCACCCTGCACAGCACCCTGCACAGCATCTTTGCCAGACTTCGCCACCGCACTCTGGACAACACCAAGCAGAACACCCTGCACAGCACCCTCCACAGCACCTTTGCCAGACTTCGCCACCGCACTCTGGACAACACCCTGCAGAGCACCCTGCACAGCATCCTGCACAGCACCTTTTGCCAGACTTCGCCACCGCAGTCTGGACAGCACCCTGCACAGCACCTTTGCCAGACTTCGCCACCGCAGTGCAGACCACCCTGCACAGCACCCTGCACAGCACCCTGCACAGCACCTTCGCCAGACCACCTTGCACAGCACCCTGCACAGCACCCTGCACAGCACCCTGCACAGCACCCTTCACAGCACCCTGCACAGCACCTTTGCCAGACTTCGCCACTGCAGTCTGAACAGCACTCTGCACAGCACCCTGCACAGCACCTTTGCCAGACTTCGCCACTGCAGTCTGAACAGCACTCTGCACAGCACCCTGCACAGCACCTTTGCCAGACTTCGCCACCGCACTAGTAGCTAGTACAGCACCCTGCACAGCAACCTGCACAGCACCCTGCACAGCCCCCTGCACAGCACCTTTGCCAGACTTCGCCACTGCACCCTGCACAGCACCCTGCACAGCACCCTGCACAGCACCCTGCACAGCACCCAGCACAGCACCTTTGCCAGACTTCGCCACCGCAGACTTCGCCACCGCACTCTGGACAACACCCTGCAGAGCACCGTGCACAGCACCCTGCACAGCACCTTTGCCAGACTTCGCCACCGCAGTCTGGACAAAACCCTGCAAGCACCCTGCACAGCACCCTGCACAGCACCTTTGCCAGACTTCGCCACCGCAGTCTGGACAAAACCCTGCAGAGCACCCTGCACAGCACCCTGCACAGCACCCTGCACAGCACCCTGCACAGCACCTTTGCCAGACTTCGCCACCGCAGTCTGGACAGCACCTGCACAGCACCTCGCACAGCACCCTGCACAGCACCCTGCACAGCACCCTGCACAGCACCCTGCACAGCACCCTGCACAGCACCCTGCACAGACTTCGCCACCGCAGTCTGGACAGCACCCTGCACAGCACCCTGCACAGCACCCTGCACAGCACCTTTGCCAGACTTCGCCACCGCAGTCTGCATGGACAGCACCCTTCACAGCACCCTGCACAGCACCTTTGCCAGACTTCGCCACCGCAGTCTGGACAGCACCTTGCACAGCACCCTGCACAGCACCCTGCACAGCACCTTTGTCTGGACAGCACCCTGCACAGCACCCTGCACAGCACCTTTGCTAGACTTCGCCACCGCAGTCTGGACAACACCCTGCAAAGCACTCTTCACAGCACCCTGCACAGCACCTTTGCCAGACTTCGCCACCGCAGTCTGCATGGACAGCACCCTGCACAGCACCCTGCATAGCACCCTGCACAGCACCCTGCACAGCACCTTTGCCAGACTTCGCCACCGCAGTCTGGACAGCACTCTGCACAGCACCCTGCACAGCACCCTGCACAGCACCTTTGCCAGACTTCGCCACCGCAGTTTGCACCCTGCACAGCACCCTGCACAGCACCCTGCACAGCACCTTTGCCAGACTTCGCCACCGCAGTCTGGACAGCACCCTGCACCCTGCACAGCACCCTGCACAGCACCTTTGCCAGACTTCGCCACCGCAGTGCAGACCACCCTGCACAGCACCCTGCACAGCACCTTTGCCAGCACCCTGCACAGCACCCTGCACAGCACCTTTGCCAGACTTCGCCAGACTTCGCACCCTGCACAGCACCCTGCACAGCACCTTTGCCAGACTTCGCCACCGCAGTCTGGACAGCACCCTGCACAGCACCCTTCACAGCACCCTGCACAGCACCTTTGCCAGACTTCGCCACCGCAGTCTGGACAGCACCCTGCACAGCACCTTTGCCAGACTTCGCCACCGCAGTCTGGACAGCACCCTGCAGAGCACCCTGCACAGCACCTTTGCCGGACAGCACCCTGCACAGCACCCTGCACAGCACCCTGCACCCTGCACAGCACCTTTGCCAGACTTCGCCACCTCAGTCTGGACAGCACCCTGCACAGCACCCTGCACAGCACCTTGGCCAAAAGTTCGCCACCGAAGACCCCACCTTTGAGAAGTAAGAACCCCTATAGCTTGCCAGCTATCTGGGGAAATAGACCAAATAGACCAAATCCAATGTATCCAATTTACAAATCTTCAAATCTCCATCCATACATCTTCAAACTCCATGAACTTGGTCTGTTTTTTGCAGCCTGATATGACTAAGCTGCCTGTCAGTAGTCCAAGGTGACCCCTACCGAGCAGCCGGTGGCCTCCTCAATAGCCTTCAAATGCTCCTCAGTGATCTCACCACCACAGCCCAAGGCCTGCTGCAAGGAGCTTCAAAAGACACGTTCCAATGCTCCCAGTGTCAACAAGCAACCTATCTCTGCCATCAGGCTTGCAGAAAGTCATTCTATATTAATTATGTCACTATGTCTATATCATTCTATATCTATATCTACATCATCTGTATATTTGTATGTTATATATTGTTGTACCATATTGTATCATACTAAAATTTATATACATACCCTGACCACTTGCACCTCATCCATGGCATCCCGAATTTGTGACTTGAAGCTGGCAGCATCTACTTTGGCTGCCTCAGCTGCACCAACTTCATCTCACGCACAGATCCGTTGCCTTCATCAATTCCCAATCTGCCCCGAAAATTTGACCCGGAAATCCCGCATCTTTCTCACATTTAACCAAGTCCACAGCATGTTGTTCAAGTTGCTGAAAACAACTTGCAAATTGAATGGATGGAGCGACAAATCTGTGCCAGGATACTCTAAGGGAATGTTTCTCCATGGAACTCTCCGCATGGATCCCAAAGATCAGGCCCAGTAGGACCTGCGCAGTGAATTCCTCCAGCTCCGGACATCGCAGCAGACTGTACCCTGCCTGAACGAGATATCTCCTTCGAACCATCGCCTCAGCACATGTCAGCTCACGAACCTTCACGAAACATGGGAAACTGCGAACTCTTCAGATACTTCACACACTTCTGGTGCCCCAAGAGGGCTCTGACCTTCTGTGAGTTCATTTCTCGCCAGAACACTAACACAGGCAGTTCAAACAAGAAAAACTGAGACCGATACCTCGAGAACTCTCCCGTTTTGGGGCTGTTGTGCCTACACTATATGCAAGTCTCTTTGACCCGGGGCTCCACACCAGCCCGAAAGTGGTCCCGGTAAAGTGTGAAACACAAGGCGAAACCTGCGCTTTCGAGAGCGCTGGGTCCCGGTGAGGAAGGGTGACAACAAAAGCTTGCAGTCGACATGAAACTTTTCCTAGCTAGCTTGAGCAGATGCTGAGATTTACTTGCTGAAGATGAGTCGAAAATTCACTTGGGAAAGGAATTTCTGTGAATCTGTCTGCTTGCCCAAGTGCACTGTACACCTTCCCCGACAGCTTGTCAAGCAAAGCAGTCACGGATCACTGTGCAACTGAGGCAGGAGAGATTAGGGTTTCGATCTCGACTAGAGTCGCTCTATGAACCAAAACGGCCATGTCAATCTCAAATCGTCAAATAGGGGCGAACCAAACAAATTCGGACCGAAAGCCCTCAAGACTGTTTCAACATAGTCTCAAGTTGATTGCATCCGTTGCTTAGTTTGCATGTATCACTGTGCAATCTGTGCGTCTGTGCATCAGCTTCGTTTTTGTTTTTGCCTCGTTCATCACAGAAATAAAGCTGAGTTGCACTTATGACCGGCAGCAGCATCACAAAAAAACAGCACATCCCACTACACCCCAGTTACCTTGAGGCCAAGACCTTCCGTATTCGTCCCAAGAGAACAGCGGAAGGGTTCAAGCCCGCGATGGAACCTGCACCCAGGCAGGCCAGTGCAAGCAGAGCTGTGCAGATTTCTAGTTGATCTCTTTGGCCGGGCGAATATCGGGTCTCCTATCCAACTGAATATCTTGCTTGTTAAAGCCAAAGCCTACGCTGGAGTCTGCTGTTTGGCAGAAATAAAGTAGTCCTGGCTGGTCAGCTGCACCTTCTGCCATGACCAGTTGTTGTAGGTGTACTGGCCTCGATAAACAGGCTGTCTCAATGATGAGTGCCCAAAGGTAGCATTTTCACTTTGCACATTTTTTGTTGACTTTGAGTTGACTTAAAGTTGATGTCAAGAGATATTGATCAGTAAAGTTTGCTGTTGATGCCTGGGATGTTGTCTGTCATGTAAAGAGAGGTTTTGGCAAAAAAGAGAGAGAGAGAGATAGGCAGAGAGTGAAAATGAAAGTTTAAAGAAGCGGAATGAAAATCACTAGGGTGGCACGGTCCACTCAGACACCAGGACTGTGCTTCAAAGAGTGTTGATCTGGACCTGAACCCCAGCGTTTCAACTGCAGGCTGTGCTGCCTGGGCCACCAGGCAAGGCTCTCAACGCTTGCTCTGAATTTTGATCTGCTCCTGCAGAACGGCAGAAAACGCCAATGACCTTGGTGGGCAGCAGTGGTGGGTCAGTAGTAGTAGGGCTTTGGCTTGTGCCAAGATCAGCAGAAACCGAACGGCACAGGATGCACAGGGCTCTCTTTCCTAGCTGACAATGCTGAAGCTGAGGCAATACACCGCAAATTTGGTGACTGCTCAGTTTCTCAAAAAAGTTTCTTCAAAGTCGTGATTGAAAACCTGGTACTGACACAAAATATCGGGATGACGATGAAGCACTTTTTCTGAGGCCATGGCATCACTGGCCCCCACAGCTGCTGGCACGATGCTAGTCACCGGCAGCGCCAGGGGTGCACCAAAGCCGGAGGCAGTAATCAGCTCCTATGGCCGACATGGTTAAAACAAGGGTCTGACAATTTCTTTGGTATTATATTCAGATTATATTGTTGTAAATACACATCAATTTATATATATATAGAGAGAGAGAGATGTATGTAAATATGATTATATACATATATGTTGGGTAATGTACAGAAAAGTTTGGACGGAAACAAAAGTGTGTTCAGGCAAGTCACTTTGATACTCTATGATACTCTTGACCCCCCCTTTCATGCGTCCAAACATGTCCAAACAATCCATCAGGGTGGGACTCAAGATCCAAAGCCTGAAGAACAATCCAATGCACTCACTGACTACCCGGACTACCCTCCCAAACCTCAAAGTGGTACAGCCCGGTCCTTCTTTGGCGCAGGTTCCGGAGAACCTGAAAAAGCAACGACCAGGGAATCTCCAACCCACAAAAAACATCAGATCCTGAAAGATCTGAAAGCCGAGGCAGATACGCAACCGCTGAGAATTGGAATGATCACTGCACCAGGCCCTGGGCCGCGCACCAGATGAATCATCCCTGGACCTGAGCATCGTAAAGGCTGATCCGCGTTGGGAAGACACAGCAATAGCACAGGCCCAGTGCTCAAAGCAACAGATAGATCGAATAGGGAGGTTAGAGAAGCAGATCCTTCTGGACGGCAGCGATGCAAAACAGCGTTCAATGCAAGTCCCGCATCTACCTCAGCGCATCTCATCTAAGTTAATCTATACACACGTTTCCTCTCTTAAAGGATTCCCTAATCCCACCTGCTTTGCTCTCGCTTTCGCTTGGGGTCCTTTTTGCGATCCTGACAAAGGCCGCTGTACATTCCATCAATGCCAAACCAAAAAGTAATCAGCTGATTGCACTGCATCTGCCCCTTCGAGTGTCTTATCGTTCTGCCAAGTGCATACACCACTTCAGAGCTCCAAAGTTGCCATGAGAATTCTGCGTTCTTCTTTCAATTCACCAAAGTTTGGGTGTGACTCTTGTGGTGAAAATTCAGAAATTCTCACTATTTGCCACGGTGAAGCGGCGCGCCCGCCTTGCGAACACTGGGACTGCGACTGGAACTAGGCTGTTTGCTCTTTTTTCGCCGGGCCTTCCAGCTTCCACTCGAGCTTCCACTGAACTGGGAGAACTGGGAAATGAAGTGAATAGAACGGTTTCAACTGCCCTTGGTCATAAATTTCACCAACATGACAAGGTGCTGCAGGTTCTGAAATGCCAAACAGTTGCAGTCATTCGCAGTTGTGACCGTGAACATCTTTCGTTGGAACCTGTGGTCCCGCGGTGTCTCCGAGGCCTTCTCTTTTGCCTTGTCCTTTTCACGCAGGCCTTTGATGGCTGCCAGGAAGGCCATCTTATCCTTCTCCTTAGTGGAGGAAATGCCAAGTTCGGCCATCTTTGTTGATTTGCCAATCTCAAAATTGCAGTTTCACACCATTCACATCCTATGGTAATTCCAAAGCCAGTCTGGGATGCCTGCTTTTGGACAATTCAATGAGACCTTATCCTCCTTCCCTATGTAAACCATACTGAAACCAAACATTTCAACCTTAAAGTCATTGCCATCTGGCCTTCTCCTTCTCGATGTCATCTTCGCTATCATCATCTGCCTTCCTACCACTTTTTGTGGTTCCACTCCTGGTTTTGGTGCTTTTCACCTGCAAACGCATTGAAAAAACAAGAGGCCATGAAGGTTGTGCAACCAAAACCCAAAAACCAAAGAAGTGTTCACCGTTGCACAAACCATGCAAAAAAAAAATGTTCCAAACGGTGCGTGATTTGACGATGAAACTGCAGAGTCCGGGGCACCTTGTCATTTCGATCGCGATCCTTTCGGTCTCGCTCCTTGACTCTTTCTTTCTCCTTCCTTCTGTCCTGTAGAGCAAGTTTGACAGGTTTGGTTTGAAACTGTTTGCCAAGACTTGCGAGTGTTGCAGTCCGCTCAGTCAAAGCTTCTGTTACATGGGTGAAACCAGACCCTCCAAACAACTCCGAGGAAATGCCTATAGACTTCTTCGCCATCGCTCACAACAATGTGCAATTGAATAATTATGCCATTTGATCTCAGAAACGTCTCCCAACTGGTATTTTTGCTGTTTGAGAGCGTGCCAAACATTAGAATATTGTTGCAATTCAAAGAAACACGGAGTTTCACAGAACTCTTCCGCTGACCAAGATGTTGGCGCGCCGCTCTCAGTTTTTTCTCTAACAGCAAAACTTTGCTATGAGGTCTTTAGCCCAGAGTGGCTCCGGTGCGATCCGGCGCAGTTTCTATGCCAGGTTCCGGAGAAGTTCCAGAAGTTTCTGGTGCAAATACCCGGTGAGATTCCGGAAGGTTCCTGCGGAGATATTTGGTGAGGTTCCGGAAGCTTCCGGCGCAGATGCCTGGTGAAGACACCTCGTGAGGTTTTGGAGGGTTCCGGTGCAGATTTCCGGAAGGCAGATACCTGGTGACGTTCCCGAGGGTTCCGGTGAGGATACCTGGTGAGGTTCCGGAAGGCAGATACCTGGTGACGTTCCGGAAGGTTCCGGTGAGGATACCTGGTGAGGTTCCGGTGGGTTCTCGCACGGCAGCAGTGTGAAAAAGATGCTGAAGCTTTCAAGCTGCTGAAGATACACCGGAGTTTATTTTTCAAGCCTTGCCACGTGCACCACGTCATGTAATTATGATTTTCAGGCAATCGTCCTAGGGATCCTTGACTTCACGCACTTCAACTCATCCGGGTGCAACTTGCTATAGTCCAGCAGCTGCTGCTGGCGTTGCTCAAGGCACTCAAAGCTGTAGGTCTCCTTGCTCTGAGCGGAAGTGAAGGAGGCATTCTCGATGGTGCGGCGCAGCTGCTGATGGGCTGTCTCCTCCAGCAGCACCGCGTGCTTCTGGTCAGACACCAGGACGATCATGTCCACGGCGACGAGCTTGGTTCCTTCAGGAAACTCGCCAGCATATGCCTTGATCCGAGTGCTGGGTGCTAAGGACACTCGGGAGACTGGTGACTGCCTCCCACTTCAGGCACTCATTCTGCACGCTAGCCAGTTCAGGCGAGGAGTCTCCTGGGAGAAAGGCGACAGCGTTGGTGAGCTGCTGCTCAATGCCAGCCACGAAATTAGTACCACCTTGAAGCCAGGCAGGCATCGCGCAGGAGGACGTCGCCAGCACACGATGCGATTATGCCATGCTTTTACGCCATGCTTTCACACAGGAACTTCAACGACTCATGCGTTGCCACCTTTGCGATTCACTCAGTGTTTCACTCTGTGCCTTTCACTCTACGTTTCATTCATGCATTTCATAACACACACACACATATATATACACACACACATATGTACCTTACATCTACATTGGGCATTTCACTCAACATGCCACACCTTCTCCGGTAAGCAGTGATATCTGGAGGGATCACCAGATCATCGTTCGGTGTGTTTGTGGTAGCATGCTCCGGGAAGGGCCAAAGCTGTCGGAAGATCTCTTTGATCTCATCCCACTGCACTGCGCTCAGTCGGAAAGAGCTGCCCTGAGTTAGTCGGAAAGAGCTGCCCTGAGTTGTCTCTCCATCGCCTCTTCATCGAAGCCATGGCCTGCTTTGTCTCATGCGTCTCCAGGTTTTCCAACTATGTAGAGACCACCTTGCAATCCTTGAGTGTTGAATAGGGATGGGCTCCAGCATCGCCATTGAAGAGCAGGTAGTACATGGCGCTAAGCCACCACAGCGTCTCCCTGTCGGCCACCACAGCACCATGCATCGCCTTAGCATGCTAGAGCGGAGGCATCTAGACCAAGCACTACTGACCTGGATATGGACGAAGTCGGTTTGACCCGAGCCATTGTGGAAGCCGCCAGACTGGCCCACAGAAACATAAAGAACGCACAGCTAGCCAGCGAGGCAAATCTAGCTCTTGTGCCCGTGGTGAACCTCCACCTCGCGAATTGCCCATGCACACTGGGACGACGCCAATGCACACCCCAATGGCGCCTGCGCAGGGCCTGCAAACGTGCGCGGACATATCCAGGAGCCTACAAGCCAAAACAGAAGAGCGGATGGAAAGTCAGGTGGGAAAGGCCCGAAAATACTCTTGAACTGCAGCGCAAGGAGATGGAAATCGAACGACGCTGCAGCAGCTGGACACAAAGAGGTGTCGGTTGCAAATGGAGGTGCAGCACGCACAGCTGAAAGCGGAAAGGGCCCGGCTGCGATATGAGGCGATGGGAGCTGCCCAAGAACCTGAAACCATGGTGCCAGATGACGAGGCGACGGTGCCCGGTGCCAGCCCCAGCATCCTGGACGTCGTATTCCGTGGTGTGGGAGCAAGGAAGAGACGCCTGCCTTGCATACGCAAATGGCACTCGTCCGCAGTATATCACTCCAGCACTCAGCCGCTCAAATCGTGGAAGGTGCCACCACAGCCATGCTGCTGCTGCCAGGTCGCTGAAGCTCTTGGATCCATACTGGCAACGGCTGGTCAGGTTGGCTGTCCATCATTTGGCTCTCAACTAGAGGGTTGAACCTTGGACGTAGCCATGCTGTGTATCTCTCAAAAGAGGAGACCGAAAGGCGAGGTCCCTGTTCATGGTTGGACCCCACCTTTTGGCCTCACTCATCCGTCTTAAGCGAAACAGCATCAATACTGTACACCTGTGATGCATTTGTATAACAATCTGGAAATTGACAACTGTTGTCACTATAGTTCTTTATTGTTCCATCCTGAAAGGTTCAAAGTTGTCTTTTTCCTCTGTCCACGCCAAACATTGGCGCACCACGCTTATTGCACTTACCGTTCATACATGCGAGGAAGCTATCGGTGTCCTTCTGCCTGGTGTCCTCCTCTGAGGATGCCTCGAGATTTGCAATTGGCTTAGAGATGGATGTGATGTGTGCCCAACCAGTACTTCATCATTGAGGTCCAGACCATGGCGGTCACTAGCAACCCGCAGCGCGCATCAGGTTGACATAATGCAAATGCAAATAGTTGTTGCAGAAAAGCTCAATTTCAGGCTCACCTTGCCTCCAAGTTTCTGTGATGTGAGTTCAGTTTGTTCCTCAAACCGAACGAAGCCATCATCCTGCTGTTGAAAACAACTAGCTGAAACTGTAAACTGATGTGTGCTCAAAAATACTGCTGGCTGTCGCGGCCACATGACCATATGGGTCATATGTTATCATCCAAAAGTTGCTGCAGAGAGTGTCAGTAGAGACTTAAAGCGAGACTCTTCCTGGATCTTCAAAGCATCTCTCAAGAATCTCTCATGATTGTCCTGTGGATTCCTCTGAGCCAAACAAGCTGAGGAATTGGACCAACAATGTACACGGTCCAAGTCTTAAGCAGCACTTCACAGAGACTAACAGAACTTCATCGATGCGTCGATGACATCGATGACATCGATATGGCCAAGCACGGGGGGAAGCGACGTTGTGGAAGTCTGCTCCTCTCGCGACTGGAGGCGTTTTCCAAACGACTTGGGAAGGATCGAAACTCGAAGACTGGAAAAAAAAGCTGATTAAAATATGCTAGAATGCCCTAGAATGCAGGTTATAAGCACACAAAATTAAATGACTACCACACTCTTTTAACTCTGTTGGCTTGTGAGATAATCATCTTCTCATGATTCTGGCATAAGACAATCGGAAGCTGAAGCACTTTCTTTCAGATACTGACTCCATGCTCAAACAAGTTGAAACTGGCTGACCCTATCACATGTTCCGGTACCTGACAAACAAAACCTTGGATGCTCTTCCTATTATCAAAAGCTGACATGGTTTGGTACTTCAAGCACCAACTCGTGCATCAGTCGACGAATCAATCTCCTCGCATTCCTTCTGTGGATGAATCGCCAATGGGCCTCCAGAAAGTCTCCAGGGAGGCGAGTGCTGAAATGGAATAGCAAGCTGCCAAGCTTTTTCTACCCACTCCACATGTCTTGCCAGGTCTTGCCATGCTTAGCCGAAATCTTGCTCAAGCTGACAAGCTGAGGCTGGTTGTATCTGACAACTTTAGACCTGCAAGACCTGATTTCTCTTCCGTGGGTTCCAGGTCTTTCCAATTCGACCCTGCCCTATTCAGCATGAGGACTTCAACCAGGCAGCACGGCACCTGCCTGTTTCAACCTCATCCAGCTTAAGTTGCCCCAGTGCAGCTTCCTCGGCATAGTTCAACTGCGGATTTCCCTAGGAGCCTGTCATACATCAAGAGCGGTCTCCAACACTAAACTCCCATATCTATAATATAATATAATATAATATAATATAATATAATATAATAATATATATATATTATATTATATTGTATCATATTATATTATATAGTATAGTAGTCTCAACGGTCTCAGCGTGCGATTCTCAGCAAGTTGCCAATTCTGTTTCCAAGTCAGCGCTCTGGCAGAGTTTCTGCCTCGGCGACTTGGATCGGAGTTGCCGTTCTGCTCTAAGTGCTACACACGGCCAAGAGTTCCTTGCTTTTGCAGCCCCTTTGAATTACTTTGAATCCTCGTGAAATATGCTTACTAAACATTACCAAACTCTGTCACCAGATACAGCCAACACGTGTTCCTAACTTCTCCTTTCCACGATTCCAAGCCTCACTTGAGCTGCGCTGGCTGTCGGAGGCACCTTGATGCCCGCCTGAAGCATTGATCCATGAATATCCAGGATATCACAGTGGATACATTGAAGACATCACTCAGATCTAAATCATCTTCATATCATTTCATATCTTCACAGTCAATGTGCCTCAGCAACCAATGCTCCAGCACCAGGCAGCAGTCTGATCTGAATGTCCTGCGCCTCGCGCAAGTGGTCATCAGTGCTATTTTCAGCCCAGTTTCTGCTGTCACTCTAGCTTGCAAATTCAGTGAATGCTTCTCGTTGAAAGGCATCATCTTGCTAAATTCACTGTCTATGGCAGAATCCCGACAGAAAAAAAACAATCAACTATATATTGTGCTTTGACAGAGTCTCAAGCAGTTTATACACCAATAACATCGAGTCATTGCTATGAAAACATTCAGCCGCTGGCCTTCAGCGCGTGACCCACCTCGAGTCATTGCGGAAACTTCAGCGACCCAGCACACCCGGGTTGTGCATAGCTGCGTGCAATGACATCAGTGCTACATATCAAGATACCACAGCCCAAACAATCAATGAAGATATATCAAGAGATTGTTGTTAAGAGGCATCAGCAATTGAGAACCAGTCCATCCAATTGCAGAAAGTGTAACAGTTCCTGACAGTTACTGAACTATGTCTGCTAAACATTGCTAAACTATACGTAGAAAGGCCTTCCTACTATGCCTGGACAACTCGACGGCGCACCTCGGTGGCTATGACCAGCTGCAGGGTTTCCTCCACGGCTGCTTTGGTAGCGGGCCTGGCCGTGAGCCTCGGAGTCGAGTTGGGAGTCCGAGACGAAAATCACACGAAAATGGATCAAAATGGATCAAAAAATGGACCTGTATCCAAAATATTCCAAAATGACAAAGAAAACTGATTTGGATAAAGAAACGGAAAAGAGACTTCGGCCCAAGTCGGCTATAGAAAGTCGCGAAGACACTGCGGTTTTCTTGTTCCATCACAATTTCCGCAGAAATACGTGGCATCCCGACATGTAGTAGTCAATCCCCTCAATCTTTTCGATAAAGTCTACCTCAGCTGGACTAGGCGGCTGGTCAAAAACAGGCTACAGATCTGTCCAATTGCAGTGATGCTTCCCTTGAAAACAATATTAATGCGTATATAAAGAAAAATATAGGAACATAAATGTGTATGTGTTCATACATGTGTATGTATCAGTGTGTATGTATGTATGCAAATATATGTATATATAATATATAATAAATAATATATAATTTATCATATATACTAATATATAATATATAATAATATATAATAAATAATAATATATAATATATAATAATATATAATATATAATAATATATAATATATAATAATATATAATATATAATAATATATAATATATAATAATATATAATATATAATAATATATAATATATCCTAATATATAATATATAATAATATATAATATATAATAATATATAATATATAATAATATATAATATATAATAATATATAATATATAATAATATATAATATATAATAATATATAATATATGATATATAATATATAGTAATATATAATATATAATATATGATATATAATATATGATATATAATATATAATAATATATAATATATAATATATAATATATGATATATGATATATAATATATAATATATAATATAATATATAATATATAATATATAATATATAATATATAATATATAGTATATAATATATAATATATAATATATAATATATAATATATAATAATATATAATATATAATATATAATATATAATATTAATATTTAATATATAATATATAATATATAATATATAGTATATAATATATAGTATATAATATATAATATATAATATAAAATATACAATTTACAATATATATAATATATAATATTCAACATATAACATATAATATATAATATATATATAACATATAATATATAATATATAATATATAATAGATAATATATTAATATATAATATATAATATATAATAATATATAATATATAATATATAATAATATATAATAATATATATAATATTTATAATATATAATAATATATAATAATATATAATATATAATATATAATATATAATATATAATATATAATATATAATATAGAATATAGAATATATAATATAGAATATATAATATATAATATATAATATATAGTATATAATATATAATATAATATATATATAATATTATATATATATATTTATCATGCATATATATATGCATATGGCATATACAATATCATGGAATCAGAGATGTATGTAGCTTCAAATGGATTCAGCTTCAGACTCAAGTGAGATGGTGTGAGACTGTGCGAGTCAATCCGCACGGGCCAGAAACTATATAGCTACTGCGTCATTGTTCTTCTTCACCAACAAATTATTGCTGATCTCCTCATGTTTTTTTGATCATCTGCTGTCGTTGTCATAGCGATGGGCTACGCAAACAATGGAATCCCTCCTTTCAGCCCGGTCTTCTGAGAGTTGCACAGAAGCGACTTTCTCATTCCCGTTCACCTGACAGCTTGGGCAGCTTTGCATCTCTAGCTGCAAATGGAAATCAGGCGGAAAAATGGCTGGATTGTATAGTCTTTGATCATCTTTAATCGTCCGACTTCTGGTGAATACCCTACAAAAATACTGCATCGATAAACATGTATGTATGTATATATATATTATTATTATTATTATATTATCATATTATTATATGCATATCATGATGAATTACAAATGAATTTGGACATTATAGTAAAAGCATGTAAAAACAAACTCTCCAGTATGCAAACACGTCTAGGATGGACATAAATAGTATTGACCCCCTGCATGGTCACTCCCACATCTCAAACCATAGCAAATGTTCATAGCATTTCTCCCAATTCATTCCTGACTAGAGTCTTGAACGGTTCAACTAGGTCCCCAGACCACAATGGCCAATGCCGGCCCTGGCGCAGGCGCAGGCGCAGGTGCTGGCGCTGGCCCAAACAGAAGGCCGGGCCCTGGCGCCGGGCCAGGCGCCGGCGCAGGTGCAGGTGCCGGGCCGGGCACAGGGCTGAAGGCTGCGAAGGGCGCGAAGGCAAAGGCGGGTGCTGGAGGGGGCGCCAAGGCAGGCGCCGGAGCCTTCGTCAAAACAGGTTAAACAATTTAATGACAAGTTCTGCCTGACACCTCTTCTGGGTCAAAGGCCTCAAGAAACCTCCAGAACTTCAATCACTACTGAACAAACAGTGACACTGTGGAGCATGGACAGTCGCATCAACAGCTTTCCACCTCGCTCTGGTCCATGCTCTGCAACAAGGCCAAAACCTCCCGCGCCAACATTGAGGAGATCATCAACCACGAGGATGTGAAACGCCAAAAGAAGTAGGAGGACGACCAACAACTAATAACGAATTCCAATTGTTGGTGGGACCCACTTGAACACAACATCATTCGGCCCATTGTAGTACAGGAAACAAATGGTTTTAGCCATCATTATTGAAACAGACTGAACAAGGGCAAGTTGTTGGCTTGCAATTTAAGCAAAAGTTTGTGTTTCTCTCAGTGTGAATTCTTCCTTCGTTCAACATATGATCCTAGTTGCATGAATGTGTCTTTTCGGAGGACGGACCTTAATTAATGACAAAACACACCTTGCAGCATCAATCACAGGCGCGCCTTTGTCACTGTTCGTGCCCTTTCATCCTGGAAAGTGGAGATCGGCCGAGATTGGTTGGTAAGCAGCTGGTAGGGTAATTGTGTAATTGTTTCAAGTCATTGAAGTTCACAAGATGTTGGCCGCCTGCTGGCCTTTGCAAAGCAGCATTTCGACCCCAAAGACACGATGTTCTCACTCCAACTACAGTTTGAGGTTTTGACCGGAAACTTACCGAACATGTTCGGGTGAAAATTGTTTTGAAAGGCCATGAAATCGTCAATTCCAAAAGAAAGCAAAGGGAAATTGGCCCGATAAAGTGGAGGCAGTGAAATACTTGTTTCACGGCCATGTTGTCAAAGAAACCCCAAGACTCGCAGCAAAAGGGGATACTATGGCAGTGTTTCAACTAGCAAACCTCCATGTGCTAGCCAATGCTTACGTTTTTCTATCCTAGAATGGATCGTAACTTGACTGGTTGGCCAATTCAGATCCGATGATCTCTTTTGATACTCCCAATTGAACATTGACCCTGCTAGGATAAACCATCCAATACCAACATCACCAAGGGAGGAGGTTCCCCACTGGTCAGCACTGCCACGAAAAACCCTGGTCCGGCACAATTGGCTAGCCACATTGCATAGATTTTTCCAAAAGAAAACAGTAGAAAACATGCACGATCCAAAATTTCGGAACGCCAAAATCTGCTGAAATCGTCTCTTGTAGTTGGGGGACATCAGCGTCCAAACAGAGGAAATACTAAGGCAGCGGATTTTTTTTTTTTAACCCAACAACCACCTCAACGGAAGTGATCACAAGTAGATGTTCACTCCAACCATTGGTTATTTTTTTCTTGTATATCCCATATCAATCCATATCACCATTGTTCGTTCAATCCAAATATATTTGATGGCTTAACCCCAGCTATTGGGATTTATGATTGGTTTATCCCATGATCCAATGTTTAAAGGGTAAAATCCAGTCGAATCATTAAGGCAATCATTATTCATTGCAATTTGCCCAGATATTTTCTGCACACCCCAGCCTCCCTGTTGAAGGTGAGCAATGAGCTGCTGGGCGCCAGCAGCGTCACAAGCAGCGCCACCTCATGCACATTCATATTCATATTCATATTCATATTCATATTCATATTCAAATTCATATTCATATTCGCATTCATATTCATATTCACATCCATATTCATATTCATATTCATGCATATATAAGGTCTATATCATCCATGATTTTTTATCCCACATAATATTCAGATACTCATGCACGCCGAACATCCGATACTGAAAGGCCACATTTTTTCCACGCATCGGTTCTCACTAATTTTCATCTCTCGGACCACCATCTGAGTTCCCCTACCAACATTGGTGCCTGGCAGGGCCGGAGTGATGATATGCGGCAATATTTTTTTTGTTACCATATTGTGGGATTGCCGTTGCAAAATATTGGGTCATGGCTATAATATGAAGATACTTTGCACCTCCGCCTGGTGGTATGTTTTGACAGGGAAAGGATCTTCCAAATTTTTACTCGGCGTGATGTGAAGTACAAAGTGTGAGTCGCAAAGTCAACATTGGGAGATTCTACACTGTGATTTGTTTAGACATAAGAAAACCACAAGCTCCTCGTGCCCAATGACTGGATAAGGACCCAACCCCCCAGCCTGCATGGCTTCAATGAATCGGATCCCCGTGGAGTCACCATCACCAAAAAGGGACCCCAACTGAGCCATCCCACCAGCATCGGATGATGGAAATCCAGGTGTTTTGGGGATGCCAAAAAAAAGGAAGTCACGCGCAGAAAGTTGGAACTTTCACATTTCCAGCACATCGTTTTAATGCAAAATTAAAGTGGCAGTGGGTAAGCACCAACACAGCGCGCTGCTCACTCTTTCCTCTATTGGGTTCGAAGTCGTTCAATCTCTTTACAAGAATCTAAAAAAGGGGCTACGGCACATATACAACATGCATGCCATAGCACAAACAGACATGACTGTACTAGGCGCTACATCTCTACATGCCTCCCGAAGGAGTGCCTCTGATTCACAGAGTGCGAGTGAGAATTCGCTGCGACTGTACATGTCTAGTCATTTTACCCTAGCCTGGCTCAGCCCCCGTTCTTCATGCGTCAAGTGCTAAATGATGTCTTCCTCCCCAAAATCGATAGTTCAGTTTCTCTAAGAGCATTTTCATTCGGCCTGCATCCAAGGGTTTGGTAAACAGGTCCGCGAGCATTTCTTGAGTGTTCTTCTTGTACAATTTTGCCTTTCCAGTCAAAATAGCATCTTGTGCCCACATAAATACTGTATCTATGTGTTTGACCTTTCCCAATCCATGACGGCTACCAATTGAAAGTCCCGTTGTTGCATCCATGTAATGATAATGGGAACATGCACGAAGTTGAGACTGTTCGCCGAGTGTTTGGCAAAGTCCGGACACAAGTCCGTAGTATTCGGCCTCTCCGGAGCTCAATGCTATCACGGCTTGTGACTTGCAAGTTGTCCGGATTGTGCAACGGCCTAACTGTAGAACTGTGCCTGTAGTTGACTTCCTAGATCTAATACATCCTGTGTGGTCGGCATCGACCCAAAGTTCCAATGAAGTAAATTGCTTCTGATTCGGAAACAGGTGTATCATTCTCGGATGCGAACGAAGATAGCGAACTCCACGTTTCAACATCTGCAAATGTGCTCGAGTCGGTCGCTTCAAACCTTTCGCTAGCTCCTTTCCAAGAACCAACAAATCAGGTCTATCTTGTGAAAGATACGCCAATCTCATACTTGCAGAACGATACATCGCTGAAGTCTCTTCGCCCAACTCCTCAGAAGTCAAAGCCTCTTCGATCCGCTCTTTGATCAAAGGCGTTGTTACCTTCGATCCTTCGCAACCAACCTCTTGAAGAAGTAGGTCTACATGTCTGGGATCGGCTTCCATTTCAATGCCCTTGTCTGTCCACGTCACCAAACGATCCAAGATAACAATTGAGTGATCCACATCCTTCATAGATGGGGGTCCCAAAATACCTCGAACATCAATCGTCCAGTGTTTGCGAAGTTCGGCAGCAAACCATTCTAACTCTGCTTTCGGTCCTACTCCGGTGAAATCGTCACCGTGCACCTCGATGCGAATTTGCCTTTCGGCGTGGTAGTACAAACATGAGTTGCTGTTGGCTTGCTGAAAACCAATTAGCATCATCACTGCCTTGATTGCTGCCTCCCAGTTGGCTGGAGCGTCGCGGGTTCCATAAAGAGATTTCCGCAACAAACCCACTTTGCCTGGTGGATATCCCATTCTACTTGGGCCACTTGGGAGTTCAACTAACAATCTTCTGCGAGCAGGGCTCCAAAAATGAGCTTTCTTGACGTCAATGAAAATCAAGCACGTAGTTGGATCCATTTGGGCTAACTTACCTTCAAGGTTAGGTACCCTCATGGTCACGGCCAAAGTAAATAATGCGCGAAGTGCTGTGATAGGCGGCATAGAAGGAAAGAAATCACTCCAGTGCGAAGGTGTGTCTCCCTTCTGCTTCAGTTCTCATGCCACGAATCTTAAGCGATACTTGGGATGCGTCTCATCCCCTTTGTTCACATCCACCCAACGTGTGGAAATGACTCGCTCATTGGCAGGTCTGTCGATGACCTCCCAAACACCCATAGCATCAATCACTTGGCATTCTTCTCGACGTGCCTCCTGCACCTTTGCGGTGTCCAACGGCTTTCCCGAAACGTTGTCCCAGTAGAGTGGCTCTTCTGGGTCAATCCCAAAGCTCTCTTCACAAGCAGGTAGTGTTTCAGGTGACTGTTCAACTTGCGCGTAAACAGCTCCTAGAAAACCTTGTCTTTGAGAAAGTAAAACGTTTGTAAGGGAAGTTTCAACGTCTTCCATTGGATCAGAGCTCAGACCAGCTTGCTCTACATCCCTCTTTGTTCCAGGCTGGCGTGTTGAAGCAACACTGCCTCCCGGCTGCTCGGGGTCTTCAAGCCTAGGATCCTGTGGTGGATCCTCTGCAGGTCTTTTGATTCCTGATCCACTTGAAGGTCCAGATGCTCGCTCAACACCAACATCTTGAATAGCCAATCTTTGTCTCTTCGAAGCATCTTGTTTGGCTTCCTCTTCTCTTTTGGCTGCAATTTCAATCCTCCTACGTCCATACTCAGTCTCTTGCAACCTTTGGACTATCCTCAAACGACAATCCTCTGCATGATTGACTCCTTGATGATCTAAACCAGAGCGTATAGGTGCACAAGCTTTGCAACCAGGACTGTAACCAAACTTGTCAAAGTCATCTTGTCGAAGATAAACACGTCTGAAGTGTGGTTTCAACTCACTGGTTTCAACTTGTCCGACCTCTTCCTCTGGCTGTTCTGGTTCAATGGACACTGGCTCTGGAAGTTCCAGTGCCTCTCTTGGCTCTTTCTGCTTTGCTGGATTAGGGGCCCATGGCGTACCAGTAATTGATTGAAGTAGCTGCAAATTCCACTGTTGATCATCTGGCTTGCGTCTTACAGACTGTACAACAACAACTCCTTTGGGGGTTCCAATGATCTTCTCAGTAGTGTGAAGTCGTACTCCAAGAAAAATACCAGATTCCCAACGCGGCTCCAACTTGTGGTTGGTCTTGACTCTGTAGTCCACACATTCACGAAAAGCTGGAAGTGCAACTGTCCAATCACGACCCTTAATGCGTCTAAACGCTGTCAAACCATCTCGAGCTTTCTCATCAAATGAAAACAAAGTGTACAAAGTGCCAACATACTCAATCAACCATCCCAAGATAGGTGATCTTGGGTCCAACTGTTGTCCAACCTTGTGTTCAACATGGTCCTTGAGCGTCCTGGCTAAACCTTGTGTGATTCCCACAGATGATTCAGCTTCACCATTTGACATACCATGGCTATCTCCTTTTGGGCTGTTCTCCAACTGCACTGAAATACCTTGTGATGACAAAGTGTTCTTGACTGCAGCAGCCAAAGCGATGATAGATGGCTCTTGATCTGATTTCAAAGTCAAAGAAGTGTAACCAAGAAATTTGATGTCCCTCAAGAGCGCAATCTCAGGGTAGTAGTGTTCTGTGCCTTTGGCAGGAACCAAATGTGAAAAGATTGCTTTGGTGAAACGGTCACGCACAACCAAAACAGGCATCTTTTGTCCACACCAACAGCATCAGTCGGTAGTTCTCCAGGCGAACCAAAGAAACCATAGTCTAGCGATACAACAGGACGACCTTCATCATCCTGACTGTGGTCAACTGCTTTGTGGGAGAACGATTTACCACGTCCTGTGACACAGTGACTGCACCACGACGTAAATGGTAGATGGCAAAATTGATGGGCTTTCACCATCTCTGGTGTAGGCCTTGCTGGAATTGGCAATGGCTTGGCTGAAGCTCCAGCATCGTCTTGGGCTAGCGCTTCACCCAAAGGTCTTACGGCTTTCCCTGCCTGTGAAAACTTGCATCCTCTTTCCGATCACCTGGACACCAAATCCAAGTTGGGATTTTCCAAACACCATTCCTGAAGTAGATCTTGATGGACTTGCCGTTCTTCAAGATGATCTGGCCTCCTTCTGGTGTCATCTTCACAGTGTGTCCCAAGCTTGTCATCTTGCCCACACTGAGTAGTGGCTTTGCGCTATCCACCACTGAAAATGTTCCAGTCAGCACCAGCCCACATTGAAATGCCATCTGAAAACCCTTCTGTCCCAAGTTTGGGATGATACGACCATCTGCAAGTGCAAAGTCCTTGAAGCCTTGTGGTGGCTTCATGGAATTCCTGGTAGTACACCAACTGGAAGAGTGTTGTCTGATGCACCACTCTCCACGATGAAGTCCACACGACACCAATTGCTTCTTTCTGGTGCATCACGTCTTGGTCGCAGCTTGTTTGGGGGTCCAAAGCTGTTCAGCTCTCCTCTTTGGCCTTCTTCAATATGACAAAGAAGGGACACTTTTTCGGACCTCAAAACGTAAGAAAAAGCAGGCGCGCAAAAATGGACTTCCCCAGTTCAAGATTCCAGCCATAGCTGTTGCTAGTCAAATCAGCTTCAAGTTGAAATAAACGCTTAAACAAATTTGCCACAATGAAGGGGTCAAAAAGGGACCAAAACTGGACCCTCCAGGGGGGACCACTTTTGATTTCAAGCAGGTCCACTTTCTGGCCCTTTTTGAAACACGTTTCTTTTGCACGGGGTCCAAAACTGGACCCTCAGCAGGTTGAATCCGGTGCCTCCTTGAAGGTCCGGCTTTAAGACATGCACCTTCTTCAGCTGCGCTGCACTTGCCTCAGCCCTCACTTCGTCGTCTGTATTACAGGCCCACTAGGTCGGCAATCTCCTACAGACTTTCTTCGTCTGAAGATGCCTGCCCCATGCGTCCCTTTGTAATCCTCAACGGCCCTGCAACCCTTCGATGACCAAAGTCCATCTTGGGTCTCTTTGGAATCTCCTCACTCTCCTCAACTTCTAGGGCCTTGTTCTTCTGGGGACGTGGGCTGTTGTGAGCCACGACCAGAGCTATAGTGGGTCTCCCATTGGTCGTGCTCCCAATAGGACTTCTTGCTGTCTTGGTGTGCTGAACCAGCACTACCAGATGCTTGTTCTGGTTTTTTTTTCCACCATTCGCCTCTTGGATTTCGTCACGGCGATTCACACGCTCTCTTGGCATGCAACATGT